TTGACATGGCAGATTGACTTTGTCAGCCTGTTGTCAACCTCATGATGAGGCCCACACATGGAGCAAGTAACACGGGGCAGGCAAGATGTGGGACCCCAACACTCAATAGTGTGAAATTAAAAATTCTCAGCAGTATGAAAAAAACTTTCTGCTTTTGGACACCCTCGAAGGGGACAGATTCTATAAATTGCAGATTTAGCCCAGAAGGCCAAAAAAAAGGACCCGCCAAAGATTATATTTTTTTAGAGAGGGCCCACAAAGATTTTCAAAAATTTGCCAGTGGGTCACTGGTCCCCCAACTTTTACTTATTTCATGTCTACTTCAATATAATTACAATGGGTTGGTTCCATGTTTCCATGCCCTCCCTCTCACCTCATTCTATTGTGGTCCCAATTTTCCTTTTTCAGTCCTTGAAATTCTAATTATTCTGTCTGGGTCCTTGGTTTAAAGAATTTGTTTAGCCAGAATAAGCACTATCTATGGTGAGTCCAATTTATAATTTTAATTGGAGAATTGCCCCTTTTTTCTAAATGTGATGGTGCAAGTGTTCCTAATTGCCTAGTTTTTGTTTTTTTTTTTTGTCTCAATGATCAGGATACTTTTCAGGTTAATCAATGCGTTACTCGATTAGTTCTCTCTCTATTCTGATCAAAAACAGCTCATTCACGTTAAGATTAAGGTATTTATAAGAGATAAATTCTTCACGAATTAGTCCTGAGTGATACCAAAATTTGAATTAAGAACGTTTGAATTTACAAATAATCTCTTTTACCACTTGAACTATCCATTAGAGTTCTAATAGTTTTGATAATGTTAATTAAAAGAGTAGCTTAACAGAGACGAGCTGATCTGAATGAGTTTGAATCTTGTGAATCTCTTGAAGGTAGGTCATGAGAGATTTATCTCTCACAAATACCCCTAGTTTCGGTGTTGATAGTCTGCCTTTGACCAGATAGGTGAGGAGATTAATTGAGGTGTACGTAGGCTGATTAGAACACCCCTGACCATTGAACCAAAAGAAAATATAGTGTTAAATGCATTCCCAAATGTCCATGTTACATTGTTTTTTTTTTTTTTTAAATACGAAATGGTGTGTAAGTATTATAATATAGCTGCTAATTTTATAAGCTAATCAATATACTTTACGAATAGAAGAGTAAGCAAACGAGAAATAATATTACAATCACTCTACAGTCTACACTATGAGCAGACAATTAATTAATTAATCATATAAGGTGGAGGTAGAGAGAAGCTCAAATAAACCCTATTAATTGAGTTGCATTTATATTTTTAAAAAATTGTATTTTACATTAATTCAATTAGCTAAAAATATTAATTCATACTTTAACATTCATATTTCATACCCCTTATATGCAATATCTTAGATTTCATAGTATAAACTTCAAAATGATATGATTGGTCTAAAGTTACAATATAATTTGATAAGACTATTCTAATCCCTTTATTGTAGAATTAAAACCACATTTTCTCCAGTTGAAATATGTCACAGATCAATTTAGGTATTCTTTAATAAACATAGGTCAGATATCTAGTTGCAATTTTTTTTTTTTTTTTTATCCCTGTTTGAAGTTGTTACATGTGAGGGGCTACTAAGATTTGAACCCGTGATCTAACGATTTAACAGCAAGATGTGAAATCGTTAGGCCACTGTACATTGCTAGTTTAAACAAAATGTCCCTCAATTGAAAATGAGTGGCATTTCACCCATTTCTTATTAGTCTTTTTCACAATTTAATTCGGAAGTACTTTTTCTCACGCAAAATTGTAATTTCATAAAAAAGTAATTATTATTTTGCGAAATTAGTAATCTATATGCATCGTATTATATGAATAATAATATCTATATAATAAAGTAATTTATAATTCAAATCTCAAAAGATAAATAAAATGACTTTTACTATTTGCGGTTGAGATGACTATAAATTTTGTTTTAAAGTTAATCTAACGGCTAATATTAATACCTTAAATTTAATAGGAAAAATAGACCCCTAAGAATGTGTTTGAAATGACTTTTTAAAAATACTTTTAAAAATTATTTATCATAAATACTTTGAAAAAAATAATGTTTGAAACCGCCTCACCACTACCTCCGCTGCCACCATCGCCGCCACCACCACCACCAACACCCCTGTCGCCGCCACCACCACCACTTCTGTCATTATCGTCGTTGTTGCCGTTATCGTCGCCCCCATTGCCACCACCCCCCCACCACCACTGCCACCTTCATCGTCGTCGTCGCCGCTGCTGGCCCCACCACCACTGTCGTCACCGTCATCGCCATTGCCACTACCACTGCTGTCGTCGTTGCCATCGCCCCTACCACCACCGTCACCGCCCCTACCATCACCGCCGTCACCATCACCCCCCCCACCATCACCGTCGTCACCACCGTCATCGCCACCACCATCGCTGCCGCCACCATTGCCACCATCACCACCACCACCACCGCTGCCGCTATCGTCATCACTACCGTGGCTGCTAACACTGTCGGCCCCACCATCGCTGCCGTTACCACCACTACCATCACCGTCTCGTATCACCGCCACTGTTGTCCACCCTTACTATAAATCGATGTTTAAATTTCTTTATGTCTTCTCTATATTTGTGATTTGATTTTAGATATGAATACAAATATGTTTATTGTTTACTATTTTTATTACTCTGTACTTTCAGGCACAGAAAATAACTAGTCTATATAATAAAGTAGTTTACAATTCAAATTTCAAAAAATAAACAAAATGATTTTTGATATTCGCAGTTGAGATCGTTATAAATTTTATTTTAAAATTAATCTAACGGCTAATATTAACACCCTAAATTTAATAGAAAAAATAGGCCCCTAAGGGTGTGTTTAGATTGACTTTTTAAAAGTACTTTTAAAAATTATTTCTCATAAATACTTTAAAAAAATAGTATTTGAAACCATCTCACCACTACCTCTACCATCACCATCATTGCCACTGCTGTCGTCGCTACCACCACCACCATCGCCAATGTCGCCACCATCACTACCACCACCACAACCGTTACCACCGCCACCGCTACCGCAACCACCACCACCGACACAGCCACAACCACCGTCGTCGCCACCACCACCACCACAGTCGCCACTGCCACTACCACCACCACCGCCATTGCCACCATACCCCCACCATTGCCACCACCACTGCCTCCACCCCCCATCACCGCCACCACCACTTATGCTGCCGCCCTCTCCGTCACCACTGCCACCATGGTCGTCACCCACCACAACTATCACTGTCTTCTACCACCACCACCACTGTCGTCCACCACCTCTCACTCTCACTACAAATCGATACTTAAATTCTTTTATCTTTTTTTTTATGTTTTTGATTTGATTTTGAATATAAATACAAATATATTTATTGTTTATCATTTTTTATTACTCTATACTTTCAGACATAGATAATAACTAGTACTTATATAAGTGCACATGTAGACTAATATAGATGAGTTTTAAGTTGAGAGAAGGGAACAAATCTTGCTAAAAATTAACAAAAAAGCAAAAGTAATAAACAAAAACTCAATTTTAAAAAGTACTTTCATAAAGGCAAAAAAAAAGGCAAATAATATTTTAAGAAAGGTGTAGCCAAACGGCAGAGTTCTTCATATCCAAACTAGCAAGTGGCAACTAGCAACAGTTACAGTGAACCATCAAACTTACTCAACTGAGAGAGAGAGAGGACTAGTTCAAAATCAAAAATTTCTTAGAGAAACAAACTGACGAAAAGTGAAAATGATAGAAAATGAATTAAAAAAAATAAAAATATATTTCTATGCATATATTTAATTAGCATAAAAAACTAACGAAAAAGTTTAAAATAAATTCATTATACTGTTTGAAAAAAAGAAAGTTACAAGAATTTTTTTTTACTATTTAAATTACAATTAATTATATTAAATCGATTTAAAGAAGACATAAAAATATTTATTAAAAATTCAAATTTTTTTAAAAAAAAAGTGGCTTGTAAACTAATTCTAGAAGAAAAATAAAGGTAAAATAAAAAGTTAGGTATAAATCACAACTTTTTTGTATTTCATTATATTTTTTACAAGGAAAAAAAATATGTTAGTTATGAGAAAATCTAAACATGAAATAGAAAATAATAACAAGGAAATTAGAGGCGAGATAACTTCGCGACTCTTCTCTAGCCATTTTCCCAATTTGAACTCGTTTCCTTAAATCTAAATGTTCCAAACCCTACAAATAAGAACTCCCTTAACTTCCCGCATCTTCAATAACTTTTCACTCACCATGCTCCTTTCACTTCTCATCTTACTCATCTCTCTTCTCACTCTAACACTTCTCTCTAGCATAAACAAATTAACAGGGTTTGGAATTGGGATAGAGTATATAGACATCGAAATTGTTTGAAAATGTAAATTCCGAGAATTGCAATTAAATTTCGGGTATTGCACGGGTCTGTCATGTGTACACACCATATGATTACTATGTTATATCTAGGTTCATCCCAAGGATAATTACTGGCTCGGACCCACACTGTAATCTCCATGGAAATTACTAGACTTGGCTATTTGTTGGTGGAGATGGAGACAAAACTCCTCCAATCCAGCTTGAGCATGCAAAGCCGGTGTGAATTAAAAGGATTAGAAAAATGATCAAAACAGGAAAAAGGTCATGAGAGAGAGTTCTAAACAATATCTTACTAGCTACTTAATCACTTTTCAAAGTCAAGCTATTCAATCCCCAGAATCAACGTTGAGATTATGTAGACAAAGTGGGAACAAAGATCTCCGGATTTTCCTTGACAAATTGGTAATCAACCCTAAATCCAAAACAAAGAAAAAACCATGAGAGAGAGAGAGAGAGAGAGAGAGAGAGAGAGAGAGAGAGAGAGAGAGACCCCACAGGGTGGAGGGGAAGATGGCATCAATAGTTGTACCAACGCGGTGTCAATGGAGAATCTAGGAAGAGATCACACAGAAGTAAAAGAAAGACGACATGTTCTGCAAACAGGATTGCTTCTCAACTACTCAATAAAAACCTACTGATGATACAAATTAAGCCCACCCAACTCCATTCCCACTAGGAACGCCTCTCTCTCTCTCTCTCACTCTCCCTCCTACACACACAGACAAATAAAACGTACAGTTTGATTCATGGAGCAAAGAGCATGGACTCAGCAACTGAGAATTTGAGGGGATCTTTTTTATACCAGTTGTTTGACAGCATGGATTTGAATTTAGAATCTGATGGGAACCAAAACGAGCAAGAACAACAAAAGAGACATCTTCATGTGTTAGCTGTTGACGATAGTCATATTGACAGAAAGCTGTTGGAGAGGCTCTTAACTGTTTCTTCATACCAAGGTGTGTGTATATTTTCACTGATTATATACACGATCAAACAGATGTTGTTTATTATAGTCACTCACTCTCTCTCTCTCTTCCAATGGTTGCTGATACAGTAACTTGTGTGGATTCTGGGGATAAAGCTTTGGAGTATCTGGGTTTGCTTGAGAACACAGATAATGATTCCACAACTTCTTGTTCTTCCTCTTGTTGCACATCCTCTTCATCCTTGTCACCGCAGCAGGAGGTGAGAATTCTAAACATCATTTCTTTCTTAGTTTTTCAGCTGTATTCTTTCTCCATTGCAGTCTTGTTTTTTTTGCTCCAAAAATGTCCATGTTTATCATGGCCACATTGGTAAGATTTTCCAATTGAGCATTGATTCACATTAGGAACAGGATCATTAATTTTCTTATTAGTTTTCTTCATCATTTCTCCATATTACTTTTGTTTTTCTTATTGTATGGAAGAGGGGTACAAAAAAGGAAAGTTTGGAGGTTTAGACATTGATTTTATGGTTTGCTTTTGCAATTTAATTTTCTAAATAGAAACAAAATTTTCTATGATATAAGCTCACCACATTTTACGCCACTTTGAAAACATATTATTTAGGAAAGAAAGTTTGTTTTCTACTTTTTTCCTTTGTTTTGGGCGTGATGGGTGTTTAATTCATGGGTAAAAATCACAGAAGATCATTCACATTTTTGCCAATCAATTGATAATAACAAGGAGAGCCGTTGAGATTTCAATGGGAGAAAAAGGAATTGTGTTGAGAGTAGGCTTGACAGATTAACACATCTTTCAAAGCATGAGGTTATCCTGATACTTGCTCTATTTATTGGTCCACATATAGACCCAAAAGGAGGAAAATTACTGCAAATTTGATTGGTAAAGTCTAAAGTTACAATATTTTTGGAAAATTTTGAATGGATTTGATACATCAAATGACAGTGTCATGTATGGTACCCAATGAGAGATTGCCAAAAATTAGTTTGTGGAATGCACAAACTGGTTTTTTCTTAAAAAAAATTCTGACCAAATGATATCTAGTAGTCGTTTGTTTGGAATGTACAATTTTTTTATAGGTGATGTACATAATCTAACATTGTTATGTGGTGTGTTAAACCGACACAAAAATGTTTGGAAACAAGTTTTCCCATCAGGCTTCCGTTTGTCCCACATAATTAGTTAGCCACACAGGCATTGTTGAAAACTGTGGAGAATAGTGTAAAAGGACCAGTGAGTGTCATGACCAAACAAAATTCATATAACAAATCTCAAACACGACTCGAGTTGAGTAACAATTTGTCATAATATACAACATATTACCTTTGAAAAGAAAGATTAAAAAAAATGATATATTCACCATATTAGTTTAGCATATGATATAAACTATTGAACCTACACATTAATAAACCCACTTACTCAATGTTTGATAGTAGAAAAGCTCATAACCCCCCATAGAACATTATTAATATATATTTAGATTTCTTCCTTTTGCTTGCTCCTTGTGCTTTGCCATATTTTTTGATCAATCTGATGAAAAAATTCCAAATCTTTGTGCACATTATTTGTGAATCTTTCTATTTAAGTAATGCTAATGATTATTTCTAATCAGTATATCTAAATCAAGTGCAGGCCTCCAAAGTCAACTTGATCATGACGGATTATAGTATGCCAGGGATGAGCGGCTATGATTTGCTCAAAAGAGTGAAGGTCAGCCATCAGAACTAGCACTTTCATTTTTTTTCTTCACATACATGAATATATATATATATATCTATGTGTGTGTGTGTGTGTGTGTGTACTATAAAATATTCCCTACAAATGCTGTTTACATTGGTTATTAAACCAGGTACTTGTGTAAGTTTTTGCCATTGCATTATGGATTCCGTAGTTGTAACCTTTACTTAGAATTAAAAGCACTAAAGTGAAACATAAGTTCATAACTGATAACGTTGGTGTCATGCTTTGGTTTAGTCTTGGTTGATACTATTTTTTTGTCTAAACTTTCTTTTAATTTTTTTCCACTTTTTTCTTTTCCCGATACTTTTTTTTTTCCCGTAAGTAAACAACCATTTCGTTGTCAGGGTCGATTTTCTAATATTAAACTGAACCATCTATTCTAAAAATTTGAACTATTAACATGTATAACTAAAGTATTTCTATGGCATTTTTCTTTCATGTGAAAATTATCAGAGACAAAACTTTTGTTGGCCCAATTGTTTATACATTAAAATTCTACAAGCAAAAGTTTAGAAGAAAAAGGCCTATTCTGCAGAAAATATGATGGTATCATCTACATTTTAAAAACTACTAAGAGAAGCACCAACCTTCCATATATGGCAAGTAATAATAACTCCGGTTCAAAGATATTATGCGATACTAAAAAATTGAGATATTTATTTTTAAATTTTTTTTAATAATACAATTTAAAATTAAGAAGAACAGAAATAGAAGAGAGAGGCATGCGTAAATTAATAAAATTGTTTGCTGAGTGTGTTAGTTAAATTATGTGACATTGGAGACTACGTAGAAAAATAATGTTTTTAAGCAAAAAAATAAAAATAAATTATGTACTATTGAATTGAAGTAAATAGAAGTGAGCCCAATATTTATATTATATATTGATTTTGCTCCCTTCTGAATAAGACTATGCACTTGCAGGAATCTTCATGGAAAAACGTACCAGTGGTGGTCATGTCATCAGAAAACGTACCCTCCAGAATCAATATGTAAAACCCTCTTTTATTTCTACCCCTTTCAATTTTTTAAAATTGCATTTGACACACAAACTATATTGTATATTAGTTTGATTTTATTCTTTATACAGGTGTTTGGAAGGAGGAGCAGAGCAGTTCTTGTTGAAACCTGTGAAGCTGTCAGATCTAAGGGAGCTTCAGTCTCACATTCTGAATCCCCTTAGCAATTCTTGTAAACATTTTGACGACAGCTTCGTTGATGACAATACGAACAATGGTAGCCATTCTTGTAAACATTTTGATGATAGCTTCGTTGATGACAATACGAACAATGGCAACGACAACAATGACAATGACAGCGATAAGAAGAACAATAACAGCAACAAAAGGAAGGCAATGTCTCCAGATTGCTCAGAGAGAAGACCCAAGATTACAGAATTAGTTGTGTTATAGATTTTTTTTTTGGGTGGGGCCATTAGGCTGACCGCTAACCTCTTAGTTGTGTTGGGTGTTTTTTGTATAACAATATATACGTATGTGGCTTTTCATCATCTTTGTGTTGGGATTTTACACGATTTAAATTCATTAACAAACACACACAATCGAAGAACAAATCAAGAATATAAAACAATAAGAAACAAGAAAGAACAAGACACAGATTTTACGTGGTTCGGCAATTTGCCTACGTCCACGAAGCTGCAGTGATTTCACAATTGAGAGAGTTGAATACAGAGAACGGCTGTACAATCCACGATTAACCCTAATCACCAAAACAACAGGGTTTATATGTCCTACGCACTGGACTGTATAACCGGCCCAAGTCTTTGCTCCATGGACTAAGCCTCAGAAAATTTTTAATTAAAAACCACACAACATTATTTCGGGTCGGGTCATCATCCGGATCACATATACAAACTAGACTCCATAAAAAAAACCAACACTTTGACGGACTATATATTGTTGTGCTGACATAATTAACACTGGAGTTTGGTATTTTCTAACACAGTCCATTCACTTTGTTATAAAATCCGTAAGAAGTTATACCAAGGACAAGTTTAGTTTCAACCAATTTGGATCATAATTGGGGTGATTATCCGATCCAGTTGATAAAAGAGTTGAGTATGAATCAAGTTAATTTCGATATGATACACGATATGAATTTGACCCAATATAAAAAATTTCAACAAAACTTACCAATCAGACGCAAAACCAACTCGCAGTTATTGAATTCTCGAATTTTAAGGAATGTCCAAAATACTTAGTCTTGTTATTGATTTTCTTTTACGTGGTTAGATTAATGGTCTCATTGACTTTCACTAATCATCCAACAACCCTCAACACGCCACATCATTTGGCATTTAAAATTTAATATTTACAGAATTATTTGTCATACATATACTGTGCCCACGCCACCCCCCCCCAACACACACATCGTAAGAGTGCTTGCGCGAGTGAGTGTGTGTGTGAAGCATTCACTGCAGTTGGACCAGTACACAAAACAGGGAACTGCCCGGTCAGCTTTGTTGAGCTCCTTCGGCAGTGTAAAACAAAAAAAGATTAGGAAAACAATACAGATGTGTAACAGAAAAGAATACATAATCGACACATGCAGATGCAGATTGCATTGTGAGTTGACCACAAATGGATTGAAGACACAAGGTGCATCTTCAAAAATAAAGGGCCAAGAAACAAAGCCAGATTATATGCACACACGTGCACGTCCAAGCACACGTGTGTATGTATATATGTCATATATATATATAGAGAGAGAGAGAGAGAGAGAGTTCCCGCAAGCAAAAAAAAAAAAAGAGAGAGAGAGAGCATCTTTTCTCAGAACAGGCATTTTAACTAAATGTAAGACAATTTTTATAGCCCCAAAATTGTTCGATTGTGAACTATATACTACACCCCAAACTGAAATTTAGGGCACCTACACATTCCAAAAGAACCTCCTAAACTTTATAAAGTTATAGAACCCCAAATAAAACTCAACAAGAGAAGGGAATGAGGAGGATAAGATGAAGAAAGATCAGCGCTTGTTTTCTTGCTAACATTTTCAGGTAAAAGCCGCCAAATGTCTCCCATAGTGCTCGCACCCCACATCATCTTCAAGACTGAGCTAGTGCTCCCTCCCTGGCAGCATAAATACCAAATCAGTAAACCCCCAACACTTGTAGCTATCCGATATTACGTATAAAGAAAATTCATTTACTTTTCCTGGAAAAAAGCCCGACCATATTTGGCCAAATGGCTTTTGTAGTCACTAGAAAACTCTTAACGACTATGAATTTCAATAATGACACCTGAAAATGTGTTTTTCACACAACAAAATTCTATTTTACTTCATTATATGCTATGAAAAAGATAAACAGACAGCCAACATGCTAATGAAAAACTATCAACGCAAATATAAACACACCCCTGTTCAGAACTTCCAATTTGGTACTCATGGGACCGTCCAGAAAGTAGGTACTTTATCAAAACCCAGGAGAAACCGTTCAGATTATGTCAGAAAAATTCCATCTATGCTGTTTCCTTAAAATCAATAAAAATTGCAACTTAGATATTTAGTTACCTCCATTAAAGCTCGTCTTTCTTGGATTCTTGCTGGGCAGTTTTATCCCGGTTCTTTTGAATAAAATCAATGATATCCTCCTTGGTCCTGTCCCCTTCATACTGCGACAGATTTCCACTTGCTGACTTGAAGTACAAAGTTGGATAACCTTTGACGTCAAAAGTTCCAGTTGGAATATCATTTGCAGTAGCATCCTTGAAATTGAAGAAAGGAAATAGATTAAAAAACGAATTGGCAATAATCAAAGAAAAGGATCAATATCTAAACTGATCAAGTTAAATGATAATAATAGAAACTATGCTTCCAATGTGACAATCAAATCAAGATACACTAATGCAGCATAACGAGGACTACTTTCTTGTAATATTCCTGTAAAAAAATTCAAGTATCTTCATCTTCCCTCTCTTCTTAATGAGAGTTGTTTCACTTATTTCATTCAGATTAGAAACAGTTGCCCCCTTTACATTTTAACATCAATAATACCAACCTAAGAGATTTATTGACCACATTATTTCTCACAATTTGAGTGAAGCCTAGTTTAAGAAAAACTCTTGCTGCATATACGATTGCCGTGAAGTTACTACTACCATTATGGCTAGTTATTATGCTTTACTAATGTCAATCCTAGCCTACGACATGTGAGCAACAAAAATGACAAATGCATTGCAGGATTTTACTAAATCTTACAATTTTGGCAATCAAAACATCGTCATCATTTTCAAAAGAAACAGCAACGTCGTCCAAGATTGGAGCCAACTTCTTGCAGTGTCCACACCAAGGAGCATAAAATTCTAATAGAACTGCAAAATGAAACATACCCTGACATAAGATGTGGTTGCAGGAATTTTTCATGGTATACATAAGAAATAAAACTGTTGCAAGTATAACTCAAGACCCAGCATAAGTACACAATAATCAATTCTGCAAGGTTGCAGAATTCTCAACCAAATCTCCACCAAAATGTAAAAAAAAAATCTCCATGGCCCATTTATCACAATCATGTTAGGGGAAGGAAAAAGCAAAATGTTATCTAAGGTTAAAGATCTTTGTACCATTAGCATGAAATGGAACATGGACAGAAGACATCACAGAACTCTAAAATATAGAACAAAAAACATGGGGAGGACAGAGCAACATAAACATGTCTCTCAAATGAGCATGCATCGACTGATGGGACAAATATCTCGATTTCACTATAGTTTCCATGCAGCTATTGCAGTACTCGGAAGACATATGTCAACTACACTAATTAAATAGATACACTAGGCCTCATTTATCTCCTTTCTAGCTACTTTTCTTTCTCTATCAAAAGCTGATTCACTTGCTTTTCCTACTCAGTCCAGTTGAAAAACTTTATGTATACGTGAGTCATGTTCTTCAACTGTCAAAAGGAGTCCAGTTCATGATTCACTTGATTTTGTCTCATGTTTGATATTGGAATACTTTATGCACATATATGGGCATTGTTCTACAAACTTCTAGGCATGTCACAATACGAGTGGAGATATCCAAAAAAATGTATGTTCATTGTCTGCACCCATACGAGAAATGCAATTTCTTTATAGACACAACCATACAAGAAAAAATGAAATCCAAGTTGATTACATATATATATATATCAAAAACTCATCTAGTTAGTGCTCATTCGCACCATTTTTCCCAGAGCTTAAAACCATGTCCTGAAGGCTGTCAGCGACCACCACCTTAACAGGTTCCGTGTTGGTCTCAGGTATAGGCTCAGACTTTTTGAATGGTGGCACGTTGCCATCCTGCAATTGTGTAGTCTTAACAGTTAGCTACTTTCAGGAACTGCACTGAAAAATGAAAAGCAATTGCTCTTTTTCTGTCACCTATAATAGAATCTTTTGCTCATCAGAACATGACAAAATATACTAAGGTCATCATTACAATCATGTTTCCAATTATTAAAAGAATAAAGGATCACCATGTATTCTTTCACCCATGATGCAATATGATCAGGCTCTATATTTGGTTTGAGATACTTCTGGCCATCATTGGTCTGAATAATGATGAGAGGCACCTGGTCGTCTTTAAGTCCAAAATACTGTTCATTCAAACCAATGAAGTGATAAACATGTTATTAATATATTGCATGCTACCAACAAAAACGCCCCAAATATACCTAGTTATACCAATGAAAGCTTGAATTATACAAACCTGGAAAGCACCTTGACTAGCCTCAACATCACCCATCAGAAAATTTACGCCCTTTCCTTTGTACTGCTCAGCAACTTCATGATATTTTGATTTGAAGGTATCAACAAGCTCACTGCCGAAGTTTAGAAACAACATGGCCTACACATTCCAAACTCTCTCATTAGTGGGCAACATAAAGATAAAAAAATTATGTATAGGTAATTGTCACAGTACAATACTTTTTTCAATAAAAGAAGTGTTTCGTAGCAACCACTGGTTTTCTATTTATTTTTTTATGGAGGGATAGCAATCTGAAAAAAGTATTTCATAGCAAGCAATTTTTTAACAAAACAAAAATATAATGGGAAAAACTTGTAACACATTTATTCACCTTTGCATCAGGGCTGTTGAAGAATTTGATGATAAAGGGATGGTTGCTAGGGTCTTTGTTAAAGATAGTAACAACAGGAATACTCCCTTCTTCAACAAACTTCTCTAAAGCATCCACATCGAAATCCTGCAAACACGTCACTTCTTAAAGAATACATTTACAAGGGAATGGTTATATGATCAAAAAGGGGAGAAAATACAATATTACAGACCAGACAGATAATATGTAGCCAAACTCGTTAAACTTCCCCTACCTGGCAATCTAGAAAACGTTCATCAAATGGTTTGAACAGCCTAACTGTAGGCCCAGACACAGATGAGTCCCCAAGCGGTAGAAGTTTTGCATCCAGAGTATGACCAAACTCGTAGTCAGAACGCAATTTCTCAGCAAGGGCTGTATAATTTTCAAACTTCTCTCCAGAGAATTCTGGGAATATTCCAACCTATAAACATGTGAGATAATGTCTTTATTCCAATCCCTCACTAAATATGGATAAAAACCAGGAATAAAAAAGGCATAAAGCACTTACAATAACAACTTTTTTGTCATCAATAAGACCACTGGCATCTTCCACAGATTTCAACTCCACAGATGCAGGCCCACTTTGTTTTTTCAAATAATCAACAATACCATCTGCATCACGAGGACCTTTGAAATCTTGAATATTCTTCCCTCCATTTCTGATGATCTTAATTGTGGGGAAACCTTTAATCTCATATTCACTTGCAAGACCTTTGTTTTTCTCTTCATTGGCATCTACCTTTGCCAGAATAACAGGAGGATCATGACTACTCAATGTAGATGCAGCTTTCTCATACTACAATCCAATACAAATGTTGTCAGGTAACTGATGACATATTTTTATAGTCCAATCCAAGTACAAATTTTGACTGCAAACAATGACACGTTATCTTTAATTTACTATTCTTAGCTTGAAGAACATCCATATTCAATCACTTGAAATCAAAAACTTATGTTACCTCGGGAGCAAGTTTCTTGCAGTGACCACACCTGTCAAAAAATACAGAAAGTTATTAAAGTCCAAACAAGATTTATCCGTTTCATATGATACAACTTTGCTTAACTGACATGCCACCATTTAACAATCTAAGATGTACATCCTATTCACATATGGGAGAGAAAAGAAACAAAAAACGAGAATCAACAATTGTACTCATTGCACATGCTCTCTCTCTTTCCCTCTCTCTCTCTCTCACACACACACACAAAAAAAAAAAAGCACAGTCAATAACTAATTTATAATTAAATTGGTGCACAAAGACAAATGCATGCTCAATACACCTATGATGATTTCTAAAAAAATTCCAAGTTTCTAGACAAAAGAAGGAACAAATAAATAAAAGTAAAGTTTGGATTTTCTGATACAAGAAACTCGTGTATAACGAAAATAATGCTGAATACTAATGTAAATTATCGCTAACAGGAAGGTAGAGGGAGGACAGAGAAGAAGTACCTCCTTTCTGGCTCGTGTTAGTTAGAAAGGCGCAATGTTAACAATCAACACATACAAGTGCAGAAAAAATCCTTGAGTTATTATGGAAAAAAAAAGTAAAAAATTACGTAAAAAATAAAACATGACAAATTTTGGAACCCTAATTGTAAGAAGAGTAAACCTATGATGGTAATCAATGCTTTCAATATTTTTCTACATCATCTGAGGCTCTAAAATAAACCAAATTGCATTAAAATGTAACAAAACTTCCCCTTTAGTGCAATGGACATGTTTTTATGCAATGGCTGCTCCAACACAAATTACACTGGTCGACCACTGCTGCTTGTAACCAGCAACTGTCCAGATTATTGTGGCAAAAAAGCACACAGAAATTCTTTATTGATAGATAAGAAGTTCATAAAAAATACAAATCATTGACCGAGACAAGTTTTTTCGGTTAGACTGACCTACTAAATTAAATTGTCAGTGTGTTTGCCATTTTCTAATAGACAACAATAATCCTCAAGTCAAAAATGCTACAAGTTCCATAAGGGTAATCATCCACATCAATAACTGAATCAAGTTAATCTTAAGAATAATTTTTTAATAAAAATAGAACTGTAAAGGCACTGAAAGTACCAGAAGAAAGAAAAGGTAATCGTCTTAGAAGAATGAGACTCAGATGATAAGGGACTTAATGGAGAATAGAGTTCCGCAAAGGTTAGTGTGGTGACAAGGCATTAAAGAAGCAAAGATTTCACCGAACACAAATGAATTATCTGAAACATAACAATCCTTGAATTAGGGGGAATTGCGCAGCTAATGAGGTAAATAACCAGCTCACGTCAAAACACAAGGAAAAGAAAATGTAGGGTAGTAATCGGCACAGCAGCGGAAAAAATACCCATTATTTCACATTCATGCTTCAGTTTTAGATCATGCTTCAGTTTTAGATCATCGCCCAATTTAAATAGATACCTGGAAGACGAGTAAACTTATCAACAAATTCTTTGTCCTCCAGTATTTCATTACATTTTACTTACATAAAAATTATCAAGGAGGTGAAATTTATGGAACCCTAGAAATATCAACCTCATCTTCAATGTCCCAATTTAAATAACCAGTGTCAAGAGCCTTAAAAGAAAAAGCGTCCAGAACAATATCATTCAAATTGAACTTGAACTTAATATATTTTTCTTGATCAGTTTTTAAATCTGAAAATCTTCATGAGCTACCAGTTCAGTATTAAAGATTTTCAGCGATACACTCCAAACAGGCCCTAAATATCTAGATAGGAATATATCATGTATATGCTATCAATCATGAAACGAAAAAAAAAATTACAGACACAGTCAATCATACGAAAGTGAGAGCACACGACAACAGCAAATGAGTTTGAGTTTTACCATGGAGCGTAGAACTCGACCACGACGAAATTGTGCTTCCCAATAGTTTCAGAGAAATTCGAATGATCTAAAGTGAGTACGAAATCCTTCGATTGGGACTCTTCGCTTTCCGAAGCCGAGATTGTACAGGCCAGAACTAGACCGAAAACAATTACAAAGAAACCTATCCAAACCCTAAACCCCATTGCCACAGATCTCTCTCTCTCTCTCTCTCCTTTGCTTTTCTCTCTCTCTTAAAAAGTATCAGAGATTTGCTTGTATCCGAAAGCGATAGTACTAGAAAGACATGGAAGTATATCCTCAAGATCGTATTTATACTGTCGAGATTATGTAAAACTATTGTACTCTCCGAATCTGATTTTTTTATACATCATTATCCACGTGGCATAATTCTATTTGTTCACATAGGGCAAGTGAAATGTAACGTAAGATAAAGAGAGTAGTTCTCAAAAAGGCTTATGGAGCACGTGGACGGTCCAATAGTTGTCTGCCACGTCAGAAAATAGTCCCTTATGGAGTTTCCATGACGTGGCACAATATTATTGGGCTTTTTGGATGATTCCATGGTACCTCACTCATGGGAATAGTTCCCAAGGTTTTGATGGAATTAAATGGGCCCGAGTCAAAGATCTGGTTTGCATGAGGATTAATTCACCTAAAAATTTGATCTAATGATATAATTTTAGTGAAATTATTAGATTAAAATTAAATTATAATGTTTGATGGACCCCACAGTCAATACAAATGTCATAATGAATTAAGTCAGTAAATTAAGTTCTAATAATATTACTCTTGTTCGACAAATTAGAGGAAAAAGAATTAATTAAGTTTTGTTTTTAATTAATTTTTAAGATAATTAAGAATAATAAATTAGTCTAAGCTCAATTAACCTTTTATGACTAACTTTGTGAATGACATAAAGCACTTTCATCATTAGAGCTCTTCAATATTTGAATTGAGATCGATTTTTAAAATTAACTTCTTTTTAATTTATTTAAATTGTAAATTGAAGAAAATCTATTAAGATCTCCAAGTAATTGAGTCACATGATTTGCCTAGAGCACTTAGGGTGCTCTTGTTTTAGGTATTAGGAAAGAAGAATGGAAGAAAATGATGTTGGGCCACTTTATTTCTTTTATATTGATGTTTGGATATATATTTTAGACTTGTTATTATTATTGGCCCAGATAAATAATATATTTAATACCATCTATAGTATTTTAAATAAATTCATCTTTTTGGTAGGTTTAATATAATTTAATTAGGATGTATTTAGAGTGTGTTTAGGAAGAATTAAAAAAAAACACTTTTAAATTTTTTGACTTATCATAAGTATTTTTTTTAAAAAAAGTAGTGTTTGGGATAACTTCTCAAAAACACTTTTAAATAAGTAAAAGTAATTTTAACACTTAAATAAGTTAATAAGTAAAAGTCAAAAAAAAATAATTTTTTCTTTTGATAAAACACTTTTTTTTTTCACAATCAACACTCCTGTCTCTCCAACATCCACAGCACCCCCCTGCCTCTTCGACATCCACAGACAACATCAATTAACTCGCCGATAACTAAAGACGCTCGACAGATGTTCAATCAAAAGAGTAGGAATCTGATAACCACCAACTTCAACTTGAACCTCCAACAATTCAAGATCAACAAGGCAAAATTGATGAGCCACTCCAAGCGCAAACAGATGATTCTTCCCATCAAGAAGCTTTCCCAAAAAAGGCGATAAATCGAAATAGTAGGTTGGTAAATCAAAAGCCCCAATCGAAACTACTAGTTCCCAAAATAATGGATTAATTCCACTAGTGAAGATAATCAAAAATGGCACCACCGATCTAACCAAAGATTCATCGATTCTCACCAGAATTTCCCAATAACCTCTGTTTGTCGAGTGGTCAAGTTGTTCATTTCTATATATAAATCTGGCAAATTTGAATACCAAAACTCATCATCTCCATCAAATGACACATAAATTTCAATTACAACTTTCATATAGGATTTTGATTCTGAGGACGTTGAGACGAAAACATGCTAACGACGTGACCTTGGTAATAGAGGAAAGTGACGTTAACATGGTAAACGCCAGAATAAACGACATTTTGAGGTCCATGTCTAGTGACTGATGCCACATGTAATTTTAATTTAAGCAGTTTTAATTTTAAATATCCAAGCAATACTTATTTAATGAAAGTGTTTTTCTTACAAAGTATTTTTTAGAAACACTTATTGAAAAAATGTTTATGGAATTTCATAAGTCATTCCAAACGCACTCTAATCCCACACAATTTGAAACTTTGCTGGTTGCTTGCCATCTAAGTTGAGGCTTCGACTCTACTGTAAAACATGCTAGTTTTTCTCTTTTGATTAATAGTGTTTTTTTATTTTTAAAATATATATTTTTTGTCAATTTAATTTTTAATGTATTAATTTTATCAATTTGATATCTAAAATATTTAATTCGTGTTATTTTAGTTCCTACATAGATAAACCGTTAAATTTTTGATGGAATAATAATGTTTTGGGAACATGATACTATCTAAAAAAAATGACATGTGATCATTCGTCAAAAAAACTTAATGGTCCATCCATTAAATGACCGTTAAGTTTGGATATATATTTTAGACTCGTTATTATTATCCAAAAATAATAACAACTCAGATGAATAATATATTTAATACCATCTATAATATTTTAAATAAATTCATCTTTTTTGTAGGTTTAATATAATCTAATTGGGATGTATTTAGACAAAAGACATTTACTCTCAAGAATCTCTAAGATATAAATATCACGAAACTTATTTAATAATTTAATATTTATACTATCATTCAATACTCTATTAAAAAAAAATAGTGGATGTGAAACCCACTAATTTTTTTTTTAGTTCAACGATCTTTCGAGTTAGTTTACGTATATCTTGACTAATCTTTTCTCTAATCTGGTTAAAAAAGATAATCCATATCAAAATTAGAGTATTCATTTCAAAAAATTGTCAAAATTCAAATTCTAGACATCTAAATTTACGGCTCAACTCTATTATTATTTCAACTACTCCATAGTCCATACAGTTAAAAAAAATTTAAAAAACGCAACGGTATCAATCAAATTTAAAAATTACAAATGAAAATAGGACACAAATCATTTTAGTTTACAGTACCAAACCCACGCGACTTGAACTTTGCGGTTGCTCCCCATCTAAGTTGAGGCTTCGACTCTACTGTGAAAAATGCTAGTTTTTCTCTTTTGGTTAATAGTGTTTTTTATCTTTAAAATATATATATTTTTTGTCAATTTAACTTTTAATGTATTAATTTTGTAAATCTAATATCTAAAATATTAAATTCATGTTATTTTAGTCCCTACATAAATAAACCGTTAAATTTTTTATAGAATAAATACGTGTTACACACGTAATACCATCTAAAAAAATGACCCGTTACCACTTTCATCAAAAAACTTAACAGTCTGTCCATAAAAGGACAAAAATGATACGAATTGAATACTTTAAAGATTAAAATAATAAAATTGATATATTAAAAACTAAACTGATAAAAAATACATATTTTAAGAAATAAAAATGTTATTAACATTTCCTTTTTTTCTTAGTATTCTCAACCGTTCACTTGGACATTGAGAATCTATTTAATGTTATACTTAACAATTTAAGTTGTACATTTATATAAGTACAACAATTATTAAGATTAATTTAATTTTCATCTAAATTTATTTAATGGTACAAAATTTATTTTAAAAAAGAATTTTGTGCTCAAAAACACTCTCTCATGACCACCATTGTTTTTTTGATCAAAATAAGCAAAGTAAACATTTCATTAAGTAAAAAAATTAAAGTTATAATCAGATAAAAGTAAAGTCTTTAAGCTCAGAGGGAGGGGGGGGGGGGGGGGGGGGGAAGGAGAGCCTACCCAATTCAGGGTGAGCGAATTACTTAGAAAAGAGACTCCAACCCAGTGAGCAACTTTTGTGTAGGCTATGTAGGAAACTAAAGGTTGTATAACCTAACATAACCTCTAATGTCTTCAACAATGATATTAATTTCCTACGGGGGGGGGGGTACGACTTCATTGGAACTAAGCTTGATTATAAATAACTCAACTAACATACTTTTCAATATCAAACAACTCCATTGACCCACACCTACCTCACTCTTTTCTCTCTCCTATTTATATCTTATTTTCTTTCTATTTACTTTGATTTTAAATTATATAATTAAAAATTTAAATATAAACATTACACAATCAATACTTAATTTTGTAATATTATAGAATTTTTTCAAACACTCAATTATTGCTAAGTTAGTAAATAAGGAACAATTGCAATTCATCAACTATTTGTTTTTCTATCCTAGCAATTCTAAACTTAGCAAAATTAGCTGCTAATCAGTAACGTTTTCCTACCCATGCAATTAGCCCTTTTAATGAAAACGACACTGGTCCAATAACCTGTGCTTAACTTTGAGCAAAACTCGAATATCTTGAGTTCAACTCTCATTGGTGAAAAAGACAGTCTTGCCTTTTTCATTTGCTAATGTTGGCATGGAAGGTAGATGCTTCTATTTAACTAACAAAATTTCGGAGTTTGGTTGCTACATCAATTTAAAATCCTCCTTTCATACTACATAACCATATGAACGATCTACAAACTAAGCATCAAACAGCAACCAAATAATAAATCTAAGAATTTCTGTACAAAATTCTTACCTCTCTTACCCTGGGGTTGTAGCAAAATCGAAATCCAAACACACGCCTTCAATCTCCAAATTGATCACCACACCAGAGAACTCACTTAAGCTACTAATCTTCATGCTCTCCAGGAGTGGTTTCCACAACCCTTTGTTTTCAACATCTTCGCAATGCTGCTCTCTACACTGCCAAAAAATTCAACTATAAAATTTTTCGTCATTCTATCCTAATTTAATCGGTGCTAGAGTAGATGTTTCTTAATTTAATATTTGTTAGCGCAGATGATCATACGGCTGCCACTGGCTGCTCAAAGCAGGAATCTCTAACCAAAGAAAGCAGTCCATTTTCGTATAGAGAATAAAACGCTTGCTAGGAGACCCGCCCATTTTTTTGTATCCTAACTTGCTCGTGAGCTTTCAAAGCCTCTGAAGTGAAGTCCTCCAAAGCCTTGAAAATAGGAATCAAACCTCCTTGTACACTACTAGAAGCAGCATCATGCACTAATTTCATGGCATCCTTATGCCTTGCTCTCTCTTCAGCCAACCTACCTTTTATCGAATCCAAGTCCACCTTTAGATCATCCTTTGCCGAAACTTCACTTTCAGAAGGAACAATTGAACCACTTTTTTCTGACATTGCATCTTGATGACGCTCCATTCTTCCCCTCTCCATCCGAAGTGTTCTTAGCCGTTTCTCAAAATCCTTTGAAATGTACTCAGCTTTCAGCTTTTGACGTTGCTCCTCATCTTGTCTCTCCCATAACCGTCGCAAGTTTGAAGCAAAATTACGCATTGCATCTGCCACACCAGCTTCTGAAAATGTTTCCATAGCTTGTTTCCAATCATAACAAATTATAAAAACTGGAGGAGCTCCTATCCGGCCTGGTGAGAAGGGAACAATTCCATCTGGAGTTTCTTCTGGCTCATAATCAAGGCACTGCAGAAGCCATCCATTTAGGGACACAATGTATGATTTTTGAGTGTGAATCCAATCATTCAAACAGTGACACCATCTATGGAGCTCCATTTCGAGTTCAACAGTGGCCCTCAAGCTTGAATCTTTTCTAGAGCCAATGTTCGCCCTCAAAGTTCGAGTTTTACTGTCCATAATAGCTTGAAACTGCTTCTGGTGACACTTAAGCATGGACTCCCACATTCTTGTCAATCTGCAAATTGCAATGTAATATATCATGTCGAATAAAGAAGGCAAGCATTCAGTATTTCATTACTAATTTTGAGAGAGAGCCCATAAAATGATCAACATATGTCCCACCATACCACCAAAAATATTCTGCAGTAATGAAGGAGAAGAGAGAAAGAGACCAGTCACTCCCGGGGAGTTGGGGGTGGCATGGGGAAGGAGATTACACTTGCAGCCTGGACATGTTTACATAGTGTTTGTCCAGTTAACTAAAGAATTTCAAAACTAAGTCCTAAACCCATCTTTTATCCAAATATAATCGGTGATGAAAGAAAATAAATTCTGAACATAGCAATGGAATTTATGTATCATATATGGAAATTGGGATTGATCTGTCTTCTCTGTTGATGACCAACTTATTTTCCCCTACACAAGGTGGACAAGAGAATAAAAATTGAAAAAACCAATGCATCACCAAATAGGCAGACAGGTATCATGGTGCAGAAATTGCTTCAAGTAACAACAAACTATTCACTCCTGGGCATTTATATGGATAAATCAACCCTAAGCATTTATTGACTTACTAAAATTGTTACCACATATGAACCGTATAGGTATACTTGAAACAGGAATGGAGGGCAAACTTTCAAGAGGGAATGAAGAAAAGGTTTTTAAATTTTTTTGGGAACTTTTTTTCTTTTCTTGTGGGGTGGGGGGAGAATAATAACCATTAACAACATGATCTAAAACAAATTCGTACCCTTGGATCAACTCAGTGATTTGGGGCTGCAACTCCTCATCCCTCAACTTATGTATCCTGCTTGATATAGCATCTATAGCTTTGATACAAATACCGAGTTTTGTCAACAACTTTCTAATTGAAGCTCGTGTAGCATCAATTTTACTAGACTCTGCTCCTCGATCATCCAAATCTTTCAGCTTCTTGCACTGCTTTTCGTAGATAACCCTAAGCCTTTCTTCATCCTAAAATCGGAGCAACCACCTTACAAAATTAAGCAAAATTGTTTTGGAAATGAGTAATAAAAAGTATCTAAGTAAAAGACGGAAAAGAATAAATGCATACATATATGTTACCGGTGGTAAAAGGTTTAGCACAGTTAAGTTGACATTGGATATTAGCACATTAAAATCAAGTTAAATTTATATCAGTAGAACTGTATCCTGTTTGCACAATGAAACAGAAAATCCCAAGATAAAGCATTAAGTTAATGTACCATAGCCCCTCCCCCCACCCCCCCCAAAACAAAAAACCCCATCAAAAAAAAGAAGGATTGAAGAACAAGTGACTACCAGCAGTGCGTGATTAAGAGAAGGCGATAATTATGCGGTACTTTTTGTTCTATGATGCATCCATAGGTGTTTCCCCCTATTCCTTTTCATCAAGTCTCATTCATCAGAAAAACAAGTTGCTAAGAGCATATCAATAAGCTAATTGTGGCCTCATGTTTGAAGCATCTGGATACCATAAGCTGATTTAAAGAATTCTTCACATTTACCATACAGAACAATCCCACCTCAGATAGAGCTTTGGTAAGTTGAGGCTTAAATTCTACTTGAACTTACATGTGCATGCATTTCTCATCTTCTCTCCTGCAAGTTTTCTGAACTGCTTAATTTGAAGTAGTATCTGAGGCACCAATTGATCAAGATTTATCAATTGCAAATCATCAAACAAGTTATTCTCCTACCTATCCAATTCTAGCCTTTGCAAAACTAGCTGGTATCTGCTAAGCATCTTAATCAGATCCTAGTTTTACTCAAGAAGTTCTGATTTAGAAGGACTAAAGATAGCAGATGAGTAGATCAACAATTGGTTCTTCTACTCGGATGAGTCTCACGTCTACAACTGTGATGCTCAATGACTTTCTGAAGCAATATTTCTGGATTGCCATAGGACAACCAGCAGTTAGCATCTTGATTAGACCAATTAACCCACAATGAGTCCTCAACTGAGTAGATCACTCAGAAAGGATGAATATCCAGCAGAGACTAACTTCCAAAGTTTGTGGATCAACAACAATGATCACATGACGTCCACAAACAGACCCCTAAAAAAGAAAAAACTACCACATCTAGAGCTGCAAACCAATGAAATAAGGTCACTGTCTGATATACTAGATTCCTCCAAATGCAAATGGATTTGGACAACAAACTAGCCAAAAAGAAACAAGTATGAGAAAGATATAATCCTAGGAAGCCCAGATACTTGCCGGAGGGATGCCATGGTGTTTGACACATGTTTGACTTGATTAGAAGTATCCTGAATAGGAAATTTATCTTCTTTTTTTTTTGTTGGTCACGGCCAAATTTTTTTTTTAATCTCACATCTGTTAACTATCAACTATTAAGAGAGGTGTGGATTTCTTTATTTTGTTTGTGTTTTTTGTTATGTAACTTATGGATTATATGAATGTCAGTGGATGTAATGATGTTTGATGAAAATAGTGGATGTTTATTTTGATCTATTTTAATTTTAATCAAAAATTTAACATCTGCTAGGCTTTATTATTGATACTGTTATACAATATACTTTGTTTTTAATACAACTCTATTGTTATCTATAGAATATATAATATTATTTTCGTTAGTCGTATCCTTTCCGTACACGTGTCTTATATTTTAAAACTTAGATGTATCCTCGTGTCCGTATTTGTGCATCCTAGATATAATCTTATTTCGCACTACCAATTTGAAACACACGCTAGAGAATCATGAGCTATTTTTCAACATGAGAGGAACATCTATTAAGATATTTCATTTCCTACCAATCCGAATCAAGCAGGACTGAAGCTGAAGGCCCCCTCCCCAAACCCCAAAAGAAAAAGAAAAAGTACTCTTCTCTCCCCCCTCCTGGGGCCAGTTGGGGGGATTACACGATGTAAAATCTTGGTAACTTTCACTAACAAAATGTTCAACCCTTTCCTTTTCTGCACAAGCTCTAATTTACAATGCCACGTAAGCCTACAAATAACTAGCTGCTTACTTGCAATCCTAGTCCTATGGATATATTGTCCTTAGGTGTAAGTTCCATAGCTGTCAAAGGAGAAGTAAGAAATCAAAAGCAGGTACAGATACTACTTTTAAAAGCAAGTGAATACACTGGCATATTAACATAGTAAGACACATGCCTCTTACATGATGCTCACATTAATTAACCGAAAAAACATAAGAATCTCAGGCATAATACCTTAACTTCCTTATATAGCTTCTTCTCCCATGCATACAGCTTCTCCAAAGTAGATGAAAGGTTAATAGGCTTGACAAAAATGTCCTTCCCAGTCTCCTCATAGTAAGATTTTGCCAATTTCATTGCTTTAGAAGCTAATCTTGCTGACTGCCTCGACGGGGGATGTGAAGATGACAAGGAAGGTGTTATAAAGTACAGAATTCTGGAAAAGATCTCTGTATAGAGACGCATAAGTTCCAATAATCAATGTCATGGAGATCACATCACAATAGCTAGCAAACTATTAAATGAATCATTATTAAAAATATTAAATGTGTCACTATTAAAAACACCAAGTAAAGGAAATTGGTGTGCTTGATAGGTTACATTCAAATTCACAAAGTCGAGTGCATTCTCTCTATGTGCATGAAGTTCTATTTCTCCAACATTCCTCAGACATAATTTTCACATGCTCCCTCTTCTGAGGAACTTCACCGACAGGAACTTTTCAATCGTTAAATTCTTCATTGACAGCAATGGAAAACTAATACCAGTATATGGATTTCAAAAAACAAAGCAGTATACAATGGACAACAAGAGTCATGAGACAGTAGCTACATGGAAAACGTTACAAAACTTCGAGAAAGGATATCTAAACAATCAGAAAAATGGAACTAAACACTCAAAAAGGGAAGTTTTTGTAGACCATATGAACAAGTTCTACCTATTGTTTCATTGTCAATTTCCCTGCTCATTATATTTCTCGATTAGTAATCTATTTTGCCTATAGTAAGGAACAGGAAGAAAAATAGAAGAAACTTCATCTATTTTGGACAGGATTCTTGTACTAAAGTCCCTATGACTATCATTTATCCAGAGTCCTAGACACAACCCCATACATATCAAAATGCACAGCAGATGTATTGACTTGTAGAATTGCGTCCCATGTCAGGCAGCAGTTTATGAATGCAGTTACAAAGCATATGTCAGATTCTTTTTCAATCCAACACGCAAAACTTCATATACTCAAAAGGGGTTGATGTTTAGTTCAATCGTCTCAGAACAATACCCATTTTTCCCTAGACAGTTTCAAGTCTGTCTCCGTATCAGCTAATTAATTTTAAATGTCTTGCCTGAATTCAATATCAGAAAAAAATATCCATGGAATGTTAACTAGGTTGATGATACTGCAATTTTTTCAAACAACCTCCATAACAGACCAACATTCCAAAATAAAATAGCATTCGGATATCATCCCCAAGCCTATATTGAAAAAAGATAATAATGATTCAACAACATAATTGTATGTTCTTGTATCTAGACACGACTAAGCAGCAGTTCAACCAGCTATTCAGTAATGCCCAAGAAGCCATTAACAAAACAAAAGCTAAAATAATACCTTTTGTGAATCTAGGCTGATAAGGCAGCTTCCCAACCTCAAGCATCAGTGCAACCTCCTTCCCATAACTAGAGGCAATCTCAAATTCATCCTTGATTTCTCTAACAACCTCTTGAAGATCCCGAGTTCCATGAGCCGATATTGTAGTTAAACTACTCAATTTCAAAGATTCAACATCATGTGTCCATGCATCCTCTATGTCAAAACTAACCCCCTTCTTCCTTGCATACCTATCTTCCGTGTTCGTTGATACAATATCCGGACTGCTCTTTTCTTCTTTCACATTAACTGAGCCTGTTCCTTCACTGTTTTGTGGTGGCGCTGCCCTTGAAGTGCCCAAATTGTGCGCTGATGGTACTTCCCATGAACTATCCTCACTACTATGTGATGGTACTTCCCTTAAATTGCCTTGACTACTTTTTGATGGTGGTGGCCTTGAAATCCTCTCACTCTTTTGTGATGGCACAGCTCCACTACCCTCACTTGAACTTATCTTTACATCTTCCTTCACCTTCTTCCCCTTGTAAGTATTTTCATATACCTCATTCTCTGTTTCTTCTTCTAAATCAGGAATTCCCTCCCTTTCTCTCACTTCATTAGAATCGGGACTACTAACAACTGAACCATACCCATATGCCTTCTGAGAAAAATAACCAGGGTAACCATTATCAAAAACATCAAATGGATTCAAGAAATCCCAAGAAGAGACCTTCGGTGATGGAGGCGGAGGGGGACCGCGTGGAGGGCTTGGTTGTCTATTCTTAGAGGGCTCTCCAGACGGCGAACTCATTGGAAACCCAAAAAATCCTCCGTTACCATATGAGTACTCTGGATATGAGCTTGAATACACATATGATGTCTCAGCTGCAGACCTCTGTGGCTCAGCCTCATGAATCACCGTCCGTGCAGCCGGGGCAGAACTCTTCATATAATGGGCATAAGAAGTTGAATTCCCTCCATATGGTCCCCAATTCTGAGACTCTTGATTCATTCCATATCTATAAGGATCCCAATCTGTTTGAGGAGGTTGATTCATCCCCTCATAAGGACCCCAAGCTGTTTGAGGAGGTTGATTCATCCCATAAGGACCCCAATCTGTATGAGGTAGTGGCGAAAGATTTGGCCCTTCATCTTCACCATCACTATCATGCATGTGGATATGACCAGAAGTTTCCAAATCAGAAGACAAATTCAAATGTGAATCCTCTGCAGCATGATCATCATCGTCATCCTCCTGCACCGAATGAACATGCGAAATTGAACCCGAATGCGACATTGAAGTATCTGAAGACGAGCTTTTCTTACTCCTTCCACTCCTATTACTATAACGTGTATCTATATTTTTCTTCTTCTTGCTCTTTCCTTCATCAGAGGGCAATGACAACACAGGGGAATCCAAAGGGGAGGCAATTACAAGCTCTTCGTCCACGAACTTCCGAAGGGCATCTCCGATGTCCTTCAATGACCGGAAATACGATACGTGAGCGGAGGCGAGGGCGTAGCGGTGGTCACCGGCTGCTCTAAGTAGCTCTTTTCTCTCCCGACAGCGTATCACCAATGGCAAACCGTCCACCTTAGACCCTCCACAGCCCATATCCACCTTAGATCCTCCACAGCCCATATCAGTTTCAACAACCCAATCAAGGAAAAGCCCTAACCCAAACCCTAATTCGTTGAAATACAAGAGAAATACTTCAATCATTTCTTTACCTGTCCAGAAAAACGCATTGTGAAAGAGATTTCAAATTCCATATCCATTTTGAACTGTAAAGCAAGCAATTGAAATTCTAGAGAGAGAAACCACAAACACACATATGTGCATACGATATGGAAGAACAAGGAGAAAATCACTGGGACAAAAAATGTTAAAATTGGTGAGATACACATAACTATCGTATACGTCTACACAGAAATATATGAGCGTATATACGTAACGCAGAATAAGCAGAAGACTTAGAGAGAAAGGAAGAAGTAAATGAAGAAAGCAGTACCAAATTTGGCAAGAGAGAGAGAGAGAGAAAGAGTGAACACTAACCGTTGAGATTGAGGCAACCAACTAGTTACCGTCCATGCGATGGCCAGAAAAATCAAAAGCTATTCGAATTGTTTGAATCGATGATTCTGAGTAAGATTGAAATCTGAGACAAGTCTGAAAAATCAGATATTGAATTGTTCGAAACGATGAATGGTGAGACAGAGAGTGTTTCATGGAATTGTTTATGGAAATAAAGAAATGTGTGTTGAAATGTGAGATTTTGGGGATGAGTTCTGAGAAGAAGTGTGTATGTGTTGTTGTGAGGGAAGAAGGGGTTCGAATTTTGTGGAAGAGAGATAGAGAGAGTGGTTGGGGAGGTGTCAGAGAGTTGCAGAGGAAAACTCGTGGAACCCGCCATTGTTAGCGGACGATATCATTAATTTACTGTTGGCATCATTACGTACATAAATAGCGTGGGGGTGGGTTGCGAGGGAGCATGTGAAAGTTTGAATTAATTACCAATTTACGCGGCAGTTTAAAATAAAATAAAATAATTATATTTTTTAACCTATTTATTAAATTACCTAATTTTTTAAAAATGACTATTTTTTATTCTAATTTCTAACAAAAGTGCTTAAAAACAAGGTTATTGACCAATTTAAAGGTCATAGCGAATTAAATTAACAAATTAGATCAATAAATTAAATTCTAATAATATTACTCTTTTATTAAAAAATAAGGTCAACATCTTGGAGTGATTGAATTGTCATGGATCTCAATATTGAATGTCATCTACTATTTTTTTTTGTTATATGATGTCTGGGTTGATGCCGATTACTTCTTCGAATTTTGAGTTAGATATCGTAATTCGAAATAATTTAAAAACATGTTTCTTGAGAAAACAAGGCCGACTGATTTTTAAGAGGTGACACTCTACTATCAATCTAATGATCACAATATCTTTAAATTATGTTTCTAAATTATATTCCAATAGTATTAGTGCTGAATTTATTATGTTTATCAATTCCCTTTGGTACATGACTAAAACACTGAATGGTCTTATCTTACTAAAAATTAAAAATAAAGTTATTTACGTTATTTTTAATAAAAGCAGGGTTTTTCACTTCAAGCATATCAATCGTGTTGGATGAAATAGATTCATATCAGGTTTAAATGGGTTCGTGTTAAAAAATATTTTAATTATACCCGATTTGTTGATTAATTCGTCATGTCTAACGAAGTATGTCATATCGGGTTTATGTTGTATATTTATGTATAACTAGTATATAAATGAGTTAAATCGTCTATTTCTTTTGAATGATTTCACTCATGTCGGATTCATTTATTAAACGTGTCATGTTGAATCCACTCGTTTATAAAACATGTGACGAAAAGAATACTCAAACTCTCTAAAAGTTTAACTTATTCATATCATATTACCGAGTCATCTCATATTTTAACATCTGACTCACTATTCAACAAAAGCATGATCAATAATTTTGTTTTTCTTAAAAAATTGCATCATTTAAAAATAAGTTCAAAAATATTTGTAAATTTTACAGTATGAGATCTTCAACAGGGTAGCGTTATCCTTTCTTGTATAAGATAATGTCAAATTTCGAAGAGTAATGTTATTTAAACATAAAAATTTGACATAACTTATTGACATAATAATATGATCAAATAAAATTCATTGGATTAACGCTAAATTCTTATGTTTGTATAGATGAGCTTAGATTCTCTCAAAGGCTATGGGTTCAAAAAATATTGACTTTTGTAATAAATGGGTGGTTATGCCTCCAGTCGTAACTTTGAAACATTAAATAGTCAAACATTGTTTAATAAATCTTTGGGAAAAAGAAGTTTTTTTACTCGTTCCAATTGAAAAGTTGGTTAAAATGAAGAAATATTATTATTTATGCACAGTGACATATATCAATAATATAATATATTTTTACTCTATGGGTAATGAGATATCAACATTATAATCACGTTATACACTGCATTCAATGAAAAACCTAGCTATTTTGCAGACGGGTAATGTTATATTTATCAAATTTTTATTTCAAATAATGTAACACAGTTTTTTTATCATTAAATGAGTGAGTCCCGTTATTGTTTAATGACGTAGATTGTGTCACATTTTTTGAAATTAAAGATTTAGTAAGAAAATTTGGTAAATATAGTATTTTCATTTTTGGACACAAAATCAGATATGGAGAGAGGGGTCCGAATCCTCCGTTGGTTGGTAGGTGAGGAACAACACCCCTGTTGTTCCTTAATATGACGTTGTTTACACTAATATGATACTAACATTTTATTAAATAGAATGATGACCCTTGTTTTGAGGACCAACACCTCTGTTACAACAACAGACTATCCAGATACAGGGAGAAAGAGAGAGATGTTAGGGAGTAAGACTCGTGGTCTGAACCAAGCAACTCAGGTTAGGTTCAAATTCAATTTGTCCTGGGTTCGAGTTGAGCTACTCGAGATCGATTTGTTTAAAAACTTATTTTTTAAACGAACCGAACTTAAATATTTTTTTAAACTCACAAAATTCGACTCGATTATCAACATTATTAAAGAGGAAAGGCAATCTAATAAACTCGATGTCACAGGTGGAGAGACTCATCCGCTAAGATAGAATCGGAGTGGTGAAAACACTTAAAATGGGCCAATAAATAAATTACAAATATGGAGAAATGAGAGAGCACGAACGAACATCATACTTTGGAAAACGCTTGACCTTGTGTCCTTTGGCTAAAACAACGGTGGTTATTCACGAAATCTAGTTGAAGTCAAGTGATATTACCAAACTATCATGAATAATTAACCTACAATATTTGTACAAGCTTTCATGATTAAAGAAAGATAAATATTGAATAATGAAATTGTAACTACCCAATTTTTTGGAGACGGTAATTGATATAAAGGTCAGAGCTGTAATTATCTTAAAATAAAAATAATTTCCTTTATAAAAAAAATGAATCTATTCAAATTATATATCACCGTAATAAACTCACAAAGTTATAAATTTGTAACTCTCTCATATCTCTACTCTGATACTTCTCCCGAGATAATTTTGAAAATAATATTAAAATCGGAAAAGTACATAATATGATAAAAAACAATATGCTCAACGATAAATAAAAAATAAAAACGAGTAAATACCAAATATCTCAGATGATAAGAATTATATTCGACAAACCACATAGCTCAACTACTATTAAACATAACTTCATACTCGGTTCCTCTTGATTACATGACAAGTGATATTTACCTAGTTTAATCCATACTCATTTTAATCAATCACACCCCGCACGACTGTAATCACAATCGCACCCCCGCATGACTATAATCACAATTTACCAATTATGCCTCAAGTACACTTTGTACATGTATTAATCAATTCCAAAGTATTTAGCTCAAAATACAGGTCAACCAATAAAAATAACAATTTCAAAACAATTATCAATAGAAATATAAATTTCAAATAATTAAAGGACATTCTTTGAAAAGAGAATTAAAAGATATGAGCATATTGTATATTATAACGTACCTCAAATTATCAATAACTTTAATTGATATGAAATTCAAAGCACCATGAGCAAGATACTTAAATTTAATAACGATCAAAAATAAAATCACTATTCAATTTTTGACCCTAAAATATCATAAGTTTTTTTCCATTTCTATCTCTCGCTCTTCTTTCCTTACTCTGAGTTTTGCTTACTGGCATCACCTTATTTACAGGCACAAATGCTTGGCCTCCAAGCTATTTACCAAGGCTGAAAGCATTTAATGATGCAAGGCAAATGAAGTCATTGGAGAAATGTTCATTCACTCGTGGTTGCATTTTTTTTTTTTTTATTCTTTCTTTGTTTCTTTAGCTTCGTTTCAAAGTCATTCACAATGGTGAAGCCTAACTAGTACTAAAGTTATATATATTTATACATTGCTCTTTTTTGTTTCACTTGTTATATATCAGCCACAAAACTTAAATATTTCTTATACTTTCACCTCAAAACTTTTTACATTTTATACTTAAAATACTTCTAAAAAATTGGGATCTCACATAAATAGCTCAAACAGTGAATATATTTCATCCAAAAAGGATCTCAAATGTTCATTGCTTCCCTATATATTGTTTTAAGGGTAATGTTATGGTATTTGAAAAAAAAAATGGGTACCATATTAAAACTTGTTACTTTTTAAAGTTAATATACATTTTTTAAAGGTCAAGTTATAATTGTTTGAGGTAATTTATGATCGATCATAAAATATTGTAATCGATTATGAATATTTTATGATCAATTGTAACTTTACCTTTAACAGGTGTAATCAATTAGATTAATCTGATGCTAAAATAGAACTGTTGGAAGCTTTTAAGGGCTTGACTATGATACCAAAAAATAAAATTTTGGTATCATATCAAAATTTATTATATTTGTGGATATTTTATAATTATTGTGAGTGTTTTTAACCAAATGTTATGGTACTCCAAAAATAATAAAAAGGGTTACCATGACAGTGATAAAAAAAATTCATAAAAGTAATAATTTTTTTTTTTTGTACTCAAAAAAAGTGATAAATTTAATTACCACACCAGTGGTAAAAATACCCATAAAATTGGTAAATTACTCATAAAAGTGATAAATCTTTTAGTTGTAAAATGATCTATAAAAATTGTAAAAACACCATTTAAAGTGTAAAATTTGAAGGTATGGTATCAAATTTTTTTTGACAGTAACATATTCATGTCCCCTATTATTTAACACATAATTTAGGGTTAATTGCACTGGAGGTCCCCAATGTATGAGATTTGTCTTACTTCGATCCCCAATGTTTCAATTGTATTATTTTACTCCCTAAAGTATTCAATATATTTTTATATGGTCCCTCATGCAGACAATGTCTATATTACTAATAATTTTTTATCATAAAGTTGTCACATGATACTTAAATATAGATAAAAAAATAATTTGAATAACTCTTCAAATTTCTACTAAAATTTTGGTTAAATACATACCTAAATTACACAATTTTGATCATGAGCTATCCAAATTTTGGTCAAAAATTACTCATATTACACATTTTTTAAGAGCAACCCAAATTTTGTTTAAGAGCTATCAAATTTTTTTTTTTTTATCTATATTTAGCTATTACATGACAAGTTTATGATAAAAAATCGTTAGTAATTTGAATGTTGTTTGCTTAAAGGACTATATGGAAACATATTCAATATTTCAGGGACCAAAGTGAGACAAATCCTATACTTTGGGGACCTCTAGTGCAATTAACCCAATAATTTAAGAAAAATATTGTTTTGGTCCCTAAATTATGAGTTTGTGTCAAGTCTCCAGTTTTTTAATTGTGTCAATTTAATTCCTCAACTATTTAGTTTGCGTCACTTTAGTTTAATCCAAAAATGATAGTTTAAATTGATTAACAGAAATTATTAAGGGTATTTCACTTGACCACACTCGAAAGGTATTTTTTGGGAACATAAAAAATTAAAGGGATACAAATTGTAAATGTGAAAGCCCAAAATGACATACATTACAAATTTGAGAGGCCGAAGTAACCCGTTAAGAGTCTGTTTGTTATGTGGGTTTGGATGAGATTTAAAAAGTGAATTTTGTAAAAATAATCCAATTCACCTTCTAAATCCATCGTTGGTTCAAAACTTGAGGTCCGAGATTTGTAGAGCAAATGATAGTTAAAATCTATGTATAAGGGTTTGATGAAACCCATCTTTGGAGGGGTGGATTTCAAACCTGATAGATGAGATTTGTAAGATAAAACAACTACTTTACTAAAATTTTCATTTTTCTATTCACTTAATAATGAATATTTTAGTTAATTAAGTAATATGATTTGAAATGAATTTATGGATCCCACATGTATTTATGTCACTTACGAAACATCAGATTAAATATAATTTTTTTTGAATCTCATGAACAAATCCTTGGAATTGGATTTAGAAATGCTTCATAAATCCAATCCAATCCAATCTCCCGATCCCCCCCCCCCCCCAAAAAAAAATCCAACAGACCCTAAGTGTAGTTACGTGAGACACAAGTAAACACATTTGTTACTAATTTATACCGTCGTTTTTTATTAGACTAAAATGATACAATTAAAATATAAATGATCATATTGACAAAATTGAAAGATATATTGGGGATTAAAGTGAAACAAAGTGAATACACCTTACGTATTATTATTACATTTTACGCTATAATTTATACATTGCTTCAAATTCAAAATTCAACGTAGTGGTCCTGATACAAATCGGATAGCAGTACAATACTAGGATCAATATGATCGATATCGGGGTGGTTTGGGTCGGTCAAACAGGTTGACATTTTTGGAGCCATTTCCAATACACGAGTTTCTAGACACTCATGTCTAGTCAAGAATGGTTGCGATGACCCAGGGTGGATTTTGGACAAATTTCTTAATTTAGGGCCTAAAAAATACGTTTTTACCTCTTTTGGTAATTTTTTGTAGTTAAATAACTTCACCACCTTAAGTCATAATTGATCGCTGTCAAATGTGCCTTAATCCGAACGATCAATAGTTTTTAGCAATATGATTAGTTTGACTTTTTTTTGGCAAAATCTTTATTAATGACCTAATTATGTAATTAATGATAATTAGGTCACGTTTTATTATTTTGAAACTTGTTTAGGGTTTCTTGCACTATTTATATTTTTGTAAGCCTTAGGGCTCAACAGATTTTGATTATTGAATACAATTGACAAAGTTTCTCTTTTGTTTCCAATATTTTTGGTATTTTTAGGAATCAACAGATTTATTAAAACCTTTAGAACTAGTATTCTCTTATGAATTAACAGGCCTGGAGTAGAAATCTAAACAGGTATTTGTGCACAAATCAACAGTTAATTTTCATTATTCCTTTTCATGCATTAAAACCTTATTTCTATCCGCTTCTCTACATCAGTTAGTATCAAAGCTAGGTTACGCTTCTGTCACTATGCTGCCAAGAAAATGACCTGTGGAGGAACTCTATGAAACCAAATTCAATGCAAGAGATACAAGGATGAACCAGCAGTTTGAGGCATTAGCCTAGCAACTTTCTGCCTTAACTATCATTGTTCAGCAGTAGCAACAGCAACAACAACAGCCACAACAACGACTGTCGAATCCACGATGGGTTGAGGAGGAGGAAGGAAGCTTGGTGGACAACAATGATAACACTTACATTGAGATTCCACCTAGGGTTAGGCCAGCCACCATGCCAAAAATTGATTCCCTAAGATGGGAATCAGGATTGAAGATTAACTTGCCTAATGTTTAGGGTAGTCTACAACCTAAAAAATTCCTTGATTGATCCATGTCATTGAGAAGATTTTGGAGTTTAAGGAGGTACCAGAGAACAAGAAGGTCCCACTAGTAGCAACCAAATTTCGTGGGGGAGCCGTTGCCTGGTGGAATCATTCTCAGAAGACACACCAAAGGCAAGGGAAAAAAAAGATAGATGCGTGGGACAAGTTGAAGAAGCATATGAGGGAGACCTTTATTCCTCATAATTACACGCGTGCATTGTACTAGAGTTCATAGAATTTATGGCAAGGTGATCAAATTGTGAATGAATCTACTACGGAGTTTCATTGATTAGTTACACGCAATGCCCTGATTGAGACGGAGAACCATTTGGTTTCTTGTTATATAACCTAAATCTATTAGACCTTTACTATGTTTTTGAGGCCTTTTAGTGGGCCCTCCAAATAGAAAAACAGTTGAGACAAAGAGTTAGGGAAAACAACAATTGGCCGGGAAATACTAGTTCTGGTCGGGGATAAGACGATGTAGCACCTTCTAGTCGACCTGCCAACCCACCTGCATCCAATAGTAGGCTAACAGAAAGGGGTGGGCCAGTCATGCAACCAGGGTCAACTGGCACTGTGAAATGTTTGAAGTGTGGCAAAGCAAGCCATCAGATGACGGATTGTAGGAAGAGAGACAGACTTGGGAAAAACTTGTCCAAAGAGGAAGAGGATATCCAGGAGGAGCCCTGCATAGAGGATGAATATACAACCACATATAATACGATTCAAGATGATAGTTGTCCAAAATAACAAATAGAAAGAGATAAAGGGCCACTGTTAGTTGTTTAACGAACATGTTTGCCCCCCCTCCCCCCGAGTTGAAGATGTGGAGGAGTGGTTACGAAATAATATATTTCATTTTATGTGCACCATGGGCGGAAAAGTCAGTCGCCTGATTACTGACTCAGGCAGTCGTGAGAAACATGGTGGCTAAAAAAACTGTCTAGAAATTAGGGCTATCCATAGAGCAACACCCCAAACATACAAGTTGGCATGACTCAAGAACGTAAATGAGGTAACAATTTCTAAATGATGTTTAGTATCCTTCTCTATCAGTTCGAAGTACAAAGATAAGGTGTGGTGCGATATGATTACTATGGATGCGTGTCACCTCTTATTGGGGAGACCGTGGCAATTTGATCGATCTGTCAGACACGACAAGAGGAAGAACACTTATAGTTTTATGTTTGATATTGATGCCTAGTAGAGACCCTTTCCTAAAACCAACATCTAGGGGAACTTCTAATTTGTTGTCGAGGGTATAGTTCGAATAATTTCACCATCTTAAATCATAATTGATTGTCGTTAATTCTAGTTTAATCCAGACGATTAGTAGTCTTTAACAGTATACTTAGTTTGGAAGTTTTCTTTTTTTTTTTTGGTAAAATCTGTATTAATGGCCTAATTATATAATTAACGATAATTAGGTCATGTTTTATTATTTCCTAATTTGTTTAGGGTTTCCTACACTATTTATACTCTTATAAGCCGTAGGGCTCATTAACTTTTGATTATTGAATACAATTGAGAGAGTTATCTCTTTTCTTTCCAATCTTTCTAGTATTCTTAAATTATCAACAAATTTATTAAAGTCTTGAGGACTGGTATTCTCTTGTGAATCAGCAGGCTTGTAGTAGGAATCTAAATTTATATTTGTGCGCAAATCGTTTCCATTTTCGTTCACTAAACCCTTATTTTTATCCACTTCTTTGCATCAGGTTCCAGTTCAAAAAAAAAAACTTCAACTTTGTGGTTGAACTTGCACTATTTACTTTCTTAAAAAAATTAAGTCACACAAGATTCTCAAGGTTTTCAAATGTTTCATCTGGCAAAAGGGTCAGCTGCTAACCTAATCTAAAGAGTCGTGGAAAAAAATTGTCAAATAAAGGATGGAGTATAAATTTCTACCTATTACTTGGTCAAATGAGGAATGGAATACAAATTTGTACATATTAAGTTCGGAATCCTCTGATCATTTCAAAATCCAAGTTTACCAACCATATACAAATAGTTGTATGAATCCGGACTTGACCTGAAAAAATGTAACATTAGTAACTATCTTAATCTATGAGTTGACCATTGAGTTTTACGCTAGATCTTTTTAGTTGTGGGTGCATTTGGGATGCATGAATCCCTCTTCTGAACGTTTTTCTCCCAATCTTCTTGCCCACGGGAGAAGGAAGGCGGGTAATACGTTATTTTTGGCGAGGCAAAAATCTCAAAAATAAAAAAATAAAAAATGGAAGTCTAGCAAGTGTTGGAAAGCTGTAAATTCCAAGCACCTATGTATGTCAAACAATGAGATTACTAATTTTCTAGGTGTGCAACAGTGCAAGGCTCAACTACATGCCATGACAACAAAATTGTATTAAAGAGATAATGAAAATTAAATTCTATGATCAGCAAGAGGACTGTAAAATACTAAAAACTTCAGATCTCTGTTCTTCTGTAAGTTCCACTGGAAACTCAATCAAGAACTTGACTACCAAGTTTCCTCTCTTTCCTTGCTCTTTAGGCTTTGGCATTCCTTGTCCTGCAATGATCTTTTCATAGCCAGGGTACAGAATATCATCCATTGTCAAGCTCATCTTCTCTCCTCCGACCAATGGAATCGAGACGGTGCAACCGGTGAGAGCTTGGACTAGAGGAATTTCAAGTGCCAGTTCTAAATCATCCCCTTCTCTCTTGAACAATGGGTGCCATTTTTCTACAATCACAAAGGTTATGTCTGCTGGTAAAGTGCCTGGAGTTTCATTTCCCATGCCTTCGAATGTTATTATCGTTCCTGTCCTCCATCCTGGCTTCACTTTGATTGTTAACACTTCCTCTTCTTGTACTATTTGCCTGCACAAAAGAAAAAGCATTGTTAAGTGACAAATTAGTCGAATTTTCCAATCATTTAGCTGCAAACTTTACATAAATTTCCATTGTCCATGGCTCCTGTTAATCGAAAATACTTAGAGGGATAGATTTGATATAGATATAACTCTTGAACATATTCACAAACTTGATGGTGGGTAAAAATTAGATACTTCTCTTAACCTAATATTTTCTCCAAGGGTAAATTATAGTCTGACCGCTAGAACAACTATGATTTTGGTCTCACTTTGTCCCCTCAACCATTCAGTTTCTTAGATTATCCTTTCTACTACTTGAATTGAGTTTATACCGTCTCAAAACAAATTGTCTATCATGTTTTGGACATAACTTTTAGATGTATATGTTGGAAATAATGGTTTTTGAACAAATATTTTTGAGCAAATTTGAGCTTAAATAAAAGTGGAATACACACCTTGAAATTGGTGGGACTAAGTTTAAACGTGTTCTCTGCCGTGAGGAGATTAAAATGGTATATTTATTTGTTAAAAACCATTAAGTATTGAATATGAAATTATATCTCAACATACCTACTTGAATGGATAAAAGGAACTAAGTTTAATGAGGTATAGTATATATGGCTTATCTTACATTGGAAAGAAACCAAAAACTAGTTGAGTTAATATACTTTTAGTTGGAGAGGTGTCAGAGGTACCTTTTCATATATTATTTTTTGTTTAACAGTGATTGTTCAACTAACAGTGGCATCTCCCCCCACTTTAGACAATTTGAACAAACACCAAGTGTCTATAAAAGGACTACCTTACAATCATTTTCAACTACGAAAAACAGACAAAAAGTTTATGCATACTGCTGTATCTATTCTCTCCCTTTCTGCATTACATTTTATGTTTGGTTGAAGTACAAAACACAAATTGTGTTTGTTGGTTTTTAAAGATTGAAATGTTACTTTTACAAAAGCAAAATTCGTTCTACATTAGGAAATAGTTGTTCATCAACCTTTAGCATTGAGAAAGAGCAAATTAATTTGTTTTAAGAAAACTATGATTATATAGGACTCAGATTTTTATTTCTAATATTATTATTGTTGTTTCTCTGCATCTCTATAAGTTCATTTCTGTATTTGTTTAAACATTTTGTTTTATTTATTAGTTTGCATATGACAATATGCTTAGTTATTTTAGATTTGCTACAGTAATTAGTTTTCAATTCTAATTATATTTTAGGTAACAATATATTAAAATGAATGTTTTTAATGCCTAGGAATTAGAACAATTTGAAATTAACAATCATAGTTACAGTCGAAACATGAGAAATGTTATAGTTGGGGTGGCAATATGAAACTAATAACTATAATTGGATAGGCAACGTGGTGATAGTTGAAGTGATGGTGTGAGATAGGAGGCACGGTTGATCGAAGGGGTCAAAGTATAGTTTATCCTTTCTCTAATTCAGCTTTTAATTTGATTGTTTCCTATTTTTTAAAAAAAATTTATTATCAGATTGATGAATTATCTATTTTTGGCTAATTATTTCTTAGCATTAATTTCTTTCAAGGATTACTAGATAACAGATGAATTGACTTGTTTCAAAGAAAAAGTTAAAGTGCTAAGTACCCGTCATTTGTAACAACATCCCTTATGATATTGATCTTCTTGATGCATCCATAGCACAACTCCTCTAGTGTGCATTCAAGCTTCATCTCAATAGCAGGAAGTTTAATAAGCCCATTTGAGTTGGAATACATAATGGGTGTGGAGCTCCTCCTGCTGGCACTTCTAGAGAGAGAGCCATTGAAGGTTGTTGCATCGACACTGCTTCTCCGGCTCGCGTTTCTCAAGAGATTGGCTGCACCTGTGGGTGTTGATTCTCGATTCCTCCGGCTTCCGCTTCTAGACACCGAAGGGCTTGAGAGAGAAGAATGTTGGGAGGAAATGTAATTATCAACACTTCGACGCTTGAAGCCACCTCTAGGGGATATAGGATCACCACCACGAATTCCTTCGCCATTCTCGTCATGATTTCTGTCGTTAAAAGCCTGAAAATGAGATTACGGCAATATTATTAGATAAATATCAAAGCTGTACTTCTCTAAAGCAGTTTAAGCTTTTAGAATTTCAACAAACACAAGGGTACGTGCATTTGACTTGCATGCTTCCATGAAATATATGTCCAACATGTGATTGATTCGCGTGAATATTATATCTTATAAATGTCATTGAAAGATTATAAATTGATCTTAATTATTAACTCTTTTTGAATACTTTCGATGTAACAAGTCTAAATCAAAATATATGAAGTTTGGGTCGTTATTCTTTGATTAGATCAAAGAATATTACAACCTTAATATGTATATATGTATAACGACTAATGTACCTTGTAGGCTTCGTCAATTTGCTTATCTTCAATTTCTGCTTTCCTAAGAGATGAATTCTTGTCTGGATAGCATTTTGAAACAAAAGATTTGTATGCTTTGCAGACTGCTCCAAGGCCAAGAATGCTATGGAATTCCTGCGACGATGACCGTGGATGATCTGCCATTGTGTGTGTGTGTGTGAGAGAGAGAGAGAGGTCATCCACTATATCCACAGGAACGAATGGCTAGCCAAATATAGAGCGTTTTGTGAGGCCTTTTATTAGCAGAATCAGTTAAAGTAGATGAAGGGGCCCTTCTGTTTATTACAGTCTTCAATCAGACCATACGGTTTTCAAAACGACGAACGCCATTTTGACCTAATTTATTAACTTAATTATTTATAATTAATAAAATGACGGTAAAATTTTAGTATTTGTTAATATGTCCATTAGACCATTTGTAGCCATGGATTGTGAAAATATTAGCAAGGTTAAATAAGAAAATAAGATAATTTTATACATGTCCCGTATTTATTGAACTAAAAGTGAATGTATCATGTTAAAAAATAATTTGTTAGTATCATATAGTTGAGTCCTATTTATGTTCCGTTTGATAGGGAGGATGGAAAGTAGAAATGATGCAAAGTAGGAGGGATACACTTTCTATTTTTCAAGGATGGAAAGTAGGAAGGATACACTTTTCTTTCTTTGTGTTTGGTTGGATGGATAGAAAATAAAAAAGACTATTTTTTTTTTGTGCTGGTTAAGATTAAAGGTGACAATCGAGTCAAGTCGTGTCGTGTCAGATTCGTGTTGAATCATTATGAGTTTGTGTTGAATATTAGTCAAACTTAACTCATTTAACTAATTGTGTCGTGTTGAGTTGCGAGTTGACCTGTTTATTTTCGTATCGAGTTCGAGTCGTGTTATTGTGTTGAGTCGAAAATTTTTACCTTTAGTTAAGATGAATTTTTTTTTTTAAATTTCTTTTAAAAATATATATATATATATATTACTATTGTATTTTTATATGAAATTAATATATACATGAGATATATAGACAAATAAGATACATTTCAACACGAATAATCAACTTTTCATCCATTTTCCTTCCGATTTTGGATGGATTGATTTTGGTGAGTTGGAAAGAAAGTTAATTTATCCACTTTTCCATCATTCCTACTTTCCTTCCTTACCAAACATAATATTTTATTTATTCCTTTAACTTTCCATCCTCCCACTTTTCTATAGTACCAAACGGAGTATTATGGAAGTTGGATGACCTTCTTAAAATAACCTACCACACTGCCTAAAGATTAAAATCATGCTACAAAGATGTTGAGATTTAACACGATTTAAATCCACTAACAAACACACACAATCGAAGAACAAATCAAGAATATAAAGCAATAAGAAACAAGAAAGAACAAGACACAGATTTTACGTGGTTCGACAATTTGCCTACGTCCACGAAACTGCAGGGATTTCACTATTGAGAGAGTTGAATACAGAGAGCGGCTGTACAATTCACGATTAATCCTAATCACCAAAACAACAGGGTTTATATGTCCTACGCACTGAGCTGTATAACGGGCCCAAAAATTTTCCTCGAAGGCGTTGCCCCCGAACCCCCACGAGGCTTGTCCATGAGCGCTACGACTTGGGCTTATCGGGCCAAGCCTTCGCTCCATGAACTAAGCCTCAGAAAAATTTTCATTAAAAAATCACACAACATTACTTCGGGTCAGATCATCATTCTGATTACATATACAAACTAGACTCCATAAAAAAAAAAAAAAACCAACAAAGAGATTCAATCACATCATCATCTAATTGGAATCTTGAACAAATAATGTGAATACCATGTCAAATCTTACAACCTCATACTGCCTATTCTTCATCAGTAGTGTAGGTTGGCACACTAACCATTTGGGCTAGTCGATTTTCAATTGATTAGGTACGTCTTTTAAATTTATATGCATATTTTACAGTTACATGTGGGTTTGGACTCGAGAGTGACACTAAACAATAATTCATTCATATAATATGTCATTAGTTCCAGTGCTGGAACCAATCGCTCTAAATGGTAATGATAATGTTTTTTATTACTAGCTAGCACTATATAACAACTCGTCTGTTTAAATAAGAACCATGCTCTTTTTGGATCTTCTGTTAAATTGTGATGAGGTTAGTAATCCAACAAGGTGTTCATCGTACTTTTGGATTATAAGACTTAAAAAGATAAAATAATAAATAAAAAAAAGTTATGAGTGATAATTCATGTTTCAATGGCGTTAACTCTTATGAGTGAGATCCACTTTAATATTATTTTTTTTATTAATTTTTTGTATTTAAATAGAACTCATATTCATTAATGGTGGATCACCTAAGGAGGAAAACAAACAAAAAAAATATTCAAGAAAATCTAGATCATTTTCTCTTCTTTTTTAGTTTAACAGTTAGGGTGTCCGCATTAACTAACGTGCACTTTGACTAATATCCTCTCTGATCCGATCAGAAGCAGGTCATCTAGGTACAGAACTAGAGTATTAATAAGGAATAAATTTCTCATGACGTGACCCTAAAAATTTGTTAAAATTCAAACTCAAAAAATCTAAATTTACACCTTTAAAGTGAAAATCTGTTATCCTCGAATTACGTTTGAAGTGAAATCTACATCCTTTTCGTGTCAAAGGATTCTTTTCATTCCTTTCGGTTTAGTGCTCTTAATCATCTTGCAACTAATGGAGTCGTAAAGAAAAAACTGATGGGATCATGAAAGCTTTAATGCCAAACAGACTGAGCCTGTTAAAAGAGGTCATTTCATGACCGTAATTGACAGACAATGATGCTTTTCATGGGGACCAAACTAACAGAAAGTGACTCCCATACACTCTACTTCTCAATGCAAAAAGCATAGAGAGTTGGTGGAAGGTTTTAAGTTGATTAGGGCATGAAACAGTATGCCAATTTGATCATGTCTAAGACGTAATTTTCAGAAATATATGTAAGAAGAGAGAGAGAGAGAGAGAGAGAGAGAGAGAGAGAGAGAGAGAGAGAGAGAGAGAGAGAGAGAGAGAGAGAGAGAGAGAGGAAAACTGATAAAAAGGGGTTTTTTAAGGTACTTATATACAAAGAGTTTCTCTAGTGATATTGTAGCAGAAGCTTTCACTATCACAATTAAAACCAGTTATCCCAGAAACAAATGGAAAGAGAGGATATGAAGTCAAAGTTTGACCTCGAAAGCATTGGACCCTAATTGTAGGTGATAGACCAGCATGATTGCTACAAAAACCTGAAAGATGCACTTGATGAAACTCATGAAGGTAGAGGTAGGTACCTTTGGATTAAGGAGAGAACACATGATATAGAGGGCACAAAGCCTGAATTTGCTTTGTATTTTGATATGCAAATGGTACTGTTAGACTTAGATTCCAAGTATAATGAACTTCACAAATTCAAGAAGCCTCAATTCAACCTTTTTTTTCTTTCTTTTTTTCAAAAACCTTCTCAACCACGTGTTTTTTGTATTCATAACTGCACCGCAATCTTCTCATACACATAATAACTTGTTACTCATATGTATCGGCTAAACTATTAATTGTTTTATGTAATTAGAAAATTTTGACTTCAAAGCATACGCGTTAAAATCTCCTAGTTTTCTAACGATTGAAATTGCGGGTTTAGCCCATATATATATATATATATATATATATATATATATATATATATAGTTTAAACAGATATGACAACTTAAACTTTTGACCAGTCTGGATCCATTCTAATTTTAACCTTGCCTGAGGCTTGCAAAAGAGTTCACCCCTCTAAATGCATTAATAGTCACCCTATCAATCGTTATCTTTAGTTAGTGCCACCATTTATTTCTTGGCAAACTAAAAGATACCATGAATTGGTTCCAAGCCTGTGTGTGCATGTGCCAAGAAAGTACTTTACCTTAACTGGAAATTATGTATCTATCAAAGCAGCCATTAAGGTTATGTTTGGATGGTTACTAGGAGGAGGATTGGTTTGCATTTTTTGTAGCCCTTCAAATCCCACTCTAATATAGTTGTACATGGGATTCACATGCTCTTCCCCATCCCATCTCATGTTTGGCCTATGAACTAGTCTTTTCGCTCATGAAACCTACATATGTGAACCTGTTGGAACTGTTGAAGCCGGACCGGGATAAAAATAGACACAAAGTCATAAGTTTTAGAAATGCCAATCAAACAAAGAATAAGTAATTGGATTAGACTATTTTTTCCAATGCCAAATCCATGAAACAAACTGACCCTAAGGCATGATTCTGTATATCTTGTTCTTTTCTCATAATGAATAGAACTATTGGGACTTAATTATTCCCAGCATTACTTGCCTAGAGGAATGTTCAATGCCCTTTGGTTCCCAGACAATAGGTACTCACGTATAATCAAGCAGCAGCTATAGAAGCCAAGCCACATAGAACAAAACTTGAAAAGTGGGTTAATCCCTATCGTTAGTCTATCATTTTCTAGAAGGTAAATATTGTATTAAAAAAAGCTTTGCAAAAAAGCAAAATTCAGAACAGTGGTAGACTGGTCATGAACAGAGCATGAAATACAGGTAGCAGAGATGCAACACAAAAAGAATTTATGGGGAAGTATAGGCCATGGTCAGTACTTCCCCACAAATTCATAACTTGAGCATCCAAAGGAAGAAGTGAAATACATTACAAGAAGAAGAGATCAGTTCAAGCAGGACGGGGGAAGCTCCCATAATTGCAGAAGTCTAAAGTTCAAAGCTGAGTTCTTGAACCTGACAGAGAAAAGCATGTCCTTAATGGCTTGTATGATGATCTGGAGCTAGGAGTTCTTGTCCCTATATTTATTGGCATAGACTATGAATTTTCTTTCCATCCAAATGTGGTAAACACTGGCAGACAAGCTTAGCTTTAAAATCACTGAAAGCATAGACTTTTTCTTCCAATTGCTAGCTGCCCATTCAATAAAAGGAGACCAAGGCCTTGGTGTCCACTGGATTTGACTACAAGCTAGGGTAGAGGTCCATAAGCCATGAGCATAAGAACATTCAAAGAAGAGATGAGAGTGGGATTATTCGATTGCTGTTGTTCAGGCGAATTCTTCACTGGAAGACCATGGTCAAATGTTCACTTCTCTGTCCGTTTATTTTTTAGTTTTCATGTAGATATTCATGTGTCTTTGTGTGTTGCGTTTTTTTTTCTTAGCTACCGTTTGGTAAGTGAGAAAATAGAAAAAATAAAGAAGAAAACTCAGAGTGTTGAATTGGGCTGTTTTTATTTTGTAGATGCTTAGAGAGAACGGACTTTCACAATTTTTTCCACCTGCTACTCATTTCATTTGAGATACTGAAGGGGTTATTTTGTGATTATATAATTTGTATCTTCCTCTTTGAGTACTGGGAAAATCTTTGAAGATTGAGGATAAGAAAACTTTGAATTTTGTATTTTATGCTGTGATTGTGCTTATGCATTTTAACACTATCGTTTGGCGGAGTCGCATATAACCCACCTCTGGGAAAATTTTGGAAATATGCTCATGACATCCTTGTGGTTATATGGACTAAAGTCCAATTGGTAACTGAGTAATGAAACACTGTTGGAAAGGAAGAAAACCAAAAGTTCCTCTCACATTTTTCCCTAGAACAATGGGGCAAATTGTCGAAGTTTACTTATTTGAGTGGAAATTTTTATTTTCCTATTGGCTAGATTTTATTGTGAAAAAGGAAACTATACGCCGGAAGAATGACAAGAAAACATATTACCGACGGTTTTTTGTCTTTTCCTGCGTTTAAAAAACGACGGCATTGCTCCTTTTTCTAGCGGTGCCTAATGCTCCATGTTTCTTAATACATCCAGTGAATAGACAACTTTGCCTTGTATTATTGTTTAGGCCATATTTAGATGTTTTTTTTTTGGAAAGTAAGTAATTTTATTGGTCGAAAAGTAGAAACATATACTATTGATATACCACGGAAGTTTAACCACTAATTACAAGCAGAAGACCAAAGGCAAAAGAAGAGTCTAAAATGATATACTTAATCAGTAATGTTACCTTGTACAGTCTTTATTTGCATTAAAACGAAGGGTAGAAGCTCTAGGTTTGGACCCAGCTCCATGGCAAGTTTCTTTGCCAGGTTGAGATGCGTAGACTCTAGATCTAGACACGCTATAATGAGAAAAGTCATTAAACTCCCTCTCTCTCTCTCTCTCTCTCTCTTAAAATTCTTTGTGTATATACATATATGCATCATTCTTGGGTGAAAACCACAAACGCCATTTGGCTTCTGATCAATGCCAAAGAAATGAAAGTGTCGAACATGAATCATCGAGCCAAAGTACTAGTGTTGGTGGTGTTTGTCTTGGTTCTGTACGTCTGGAACATTTCAGTGCTGTTCTTCATATGCTTATGAGCCTCATGACAGCAAGAAGACGCAGACTTTACTTCCAAATCAATTGGGGTCCTCCTTTTTTCGTCTCAGTGGAAGTGTTCATCAAGGGTACGTCGTATTGTTTTATCTTCTCGATTTATTTCATCATTAGGCATTGTTTACTTGAGTTTCCGTTGGTTTTGCTTTCTTCTTTTTATTCCTTATCCTTGGTTTTCATTATTCTTTCTCCTTTATGTACTTGTAACCTGGTGTTATCCTTGAACTGTTTTCCTCATCTGTTTTCTTGTAGGACCATTTAGTTGATTTTCTTTAATTTTCAGTATGATTTGTATTTTTTTAATTTCTTAGAATATTCTTGTCTCACTTCCATCATTGAATAGTTTCCTAGGATTGTCCCAGTTCTATTCATGTCTCTGTGGCTCATTACCATGCCCTCACCCTCTCTCTCTCTCTCTCTCTCTCTCTCTCACACACACACACAAACACAAGTTTTGGCTTATGTTGTTGACCTTATTTTTTTGGCCTGCTATAGTTATGCATGTCATTAGTAATTTAGTGATTATACCTATTTGCAATACTCCAAATTTTCATTGTTACATCTTGTTATCATTCATGGAATTTCCATGGAAATTCTACTTTGACAAGCTGATATATCAGTAGTTGTCTTCAACATGTACAGATCCTACACTGTCAACATGGACATAGGAAACCCACCCAGGCCCTACACTCTGGATATGGACACAGGCAGCTATGTCACTTGGATCCAATGTGATGCACCATGTATCAATTGTCATCAGGTAATTACCATCCATTCAATTCCATTTTACGAAAAGTTTCAAACAGTTATAAATTCCTTCATGCTTGTATGTGTGCTGTGCAGGCTCCTCATAGACCATACAAGCCCCAAAGGATTGATGCTGCCTTGTGTAAGGACCACATGTGTGATTTTGTGGATCATCCTGCAAACTATCCATGCAGGTGATAACCAGAGCAACTAATCTAACTGATTAACTAATCAGTTGTAACTAATCAACTGATATTTGTCATTTTGGCATTCTGTTAGATTCCAGCTGTATTCTCTGTCTTCTTATAAATACTAAAGGCATACTCTTGTACATGTATGAAGGATTTACAATGAAAAATCAGATTTGAATTTCTTCTGTCTTCTGTGTGTTTCTCTATCTCTCTATCTGTAAAACTCATCATGCTATCAGAGCCATAAGAGACGAAAGTCTTCATCAATGGCATATTCATCATCTTCAGCTCCAATGATTCCACCACTTTCTACTACTACTTCATCAAACCTTCCTTTCCAGTCTCCCATATAACTTCTGTCTAATATTTGCAATTTGATTTCTCTTCGTTTAGGTTCCACGAACTATATTTCTTGGAAATTTTAGATCTCATCACTGTTATGAGCTCACTCTTTGCTAGGTTTTCTTGATGGATCAAATCCTTGCCCTCATAAGTTTTTATCAGATGAAAGTGAAGCTCATACCACATAGATTGATCCAAGTTATCAACAATGGCAGATTCAAGATCAAGCCTTAATGACACTGATTAATGCTACTTTTTCGCCATCAGCAATTGCTCATGTTGTAGGTTATAATACATCTCGAGATGTCTGGTTAGCTCTGGAAAGAAGATTCTCCTCACAATCACGAGCAAATGTTCTTCAACTAAAAACCAATTTTCAATCTATTACCAAAGGAACAGATTCAGTTGATGATTATGTGCAGAAAATCAAAGTAATATGTGATAAACTAGCAACAGTCTCAGTATTTGTGGAAGAAGAAGATATCATACTGTATACGTTGAATGACCTGCCTCAACAGTACAGCTCTTTCAGAACAGCAATTAGAAATAGATCTCATCCTCTTTCTCATGAACAGTTTCATGCTTTACTGAAAACAGAAGAAATTTCTGTTAATGTTGTTCAAAAAGCACAACATACTCAATTTTCACCTACAGCAATGGTTATTACACAATATAAACCATTTAACAATCAACACAATTCAGGAAGAAACAATTTTAATTGAGGACGAAGTGGCAATGGAGGACGATATGGCAATAGAGGAGGAGGAGGTAGAAATCAATATGGAGGAAGATCTAATTCTCAATATCAGGGCTCTCATCAACAGTTTTCTACTCAAAACAAGAATCAGACTTTCAACTACAATAAACCACAAATAACTTGTCAGATCTGTAACAAATTTGGTCACAGTGCTTCAAACTACTATTGTCGTATGAATCTTTCCTATCATGGCCAGTATCAGTCTTCATCCTCTCCAAACTCTACTATGATGGCCTTTTCAGATTCTTCTTCCTATTCTTTGATGGATCATTTACCTGATAGTCAATTCCCTACCTTCTCTGGTCCACACAATTTGAATTATTGGTTGACTGATTCAGGAGCATCACATCATCTCACTTTAGATTTTGATAATCTTACTCTTGCTTCTCCTTATCAAAGAGATGTCAGTATTACTGTTGGTAGTGGTCATAAACTTCCCATTACTCACTCAGGTCATTTTCTTCTTGTCACTCCTTCTTACTATTTTAAACTCAATAATGTACTCAGAATTCCTAATATTGCTGCTAATTTGATTTCTGTTAAGAAATTTTGTCAAGATAATCATTGTCTATTCATTTTTGATTCTAACTCCTTTATCATTCAGGACAAGGCCACCAAGCAAATCCTCTATCAAGGCAAATGTAGCAATGGTTTGTATCCAATTGTTGGTGTTCAGTCTTCATCTTCCTCTCCTGCTACTTTTCTTGGCAGCAGAGTACCAGCTCACACATGGCATGATCGCTTAGGCTATCCATCTTCTCCAGTTTTGCATCAAATTTTATCCCAGTCTAATATTCCTTATAGTAAATCTGGCTTCCATTCTTGTCAATGTACTCAGTGTTTGTATGGCAAAATGTCCAAACAACCTTTTCTAATTTCTATTATATTTTCAGCTTTTCTTTCACATATTTTGCATAGTGATGTTTGGGGTCCTTCCCCTCACCCTCCTATTCATGGCTATAAATACTATGTTTAATTTGTTGATGATTGTACTATATTTACTTGGATATTTCCCTTGCTTGCCAAATCAAATGTGTATATTGTGTTTACTCAGTTTAAGCCCTACATTGAGAATAAATTATCTCATACTCTTAAAACCCTGCATTCTGATGGAGGTGGTGAATACAGTAGTCTTCAACTCAAGCAGTATCTTACTCTTAATGGCATTCATCACATGAAATCTTGTCCTCACACTCTTCAACAAAATGGTATTGCAGAGAGAAAACATAGGCATATTACAGAAACAACCATTGCTCTTCTTACCAAAGCCTCTTTACCTTACTCTTTCTGGTTCCATGCTTTTGTAGCAGCCACCTATCTTATTAATAGGATGTCTAGTAAGGTTACATCTCATAAATCCTCTTATGAACTGTTTTTTCATGAAATTTCAGATTACTCATCTCTCAAAGTGTTTGGTTGTGCTTGTTATCCCCTTTTGAAACCTTATAACAAACATAAGCTTGAACCCAAAACCACTCAGTGTATTTTCATTGGCTATCCTTTTGAGTACAAGGGATACTTGTGCTATGATTCTTTTCATCATAGGATCTATACTTCTAGACATGTTGTTTTTCAAAAGAATGTGTTTCCTTATGCAACTCAGTCTTACACATCTTCATTTCTTTCTCCAAATTCAGCTCAGTAGTTTCCAGCTCCTATATCCACTAGTTCTGATTCTGTTTTGGATTCTTCTTCTTCTGCACCAATTCCACATCTAAATCCTTTGTTTCTTCCTGTATCTTCTTGTGTTTCTTCTTCTACAGCCCCTCACTCTAAGGTATCTTCTTCTATTCCTCCCATTCCACCTTTACCTACTTCTACTCCTATAGATTCTGGTCCAGTTTCAGTTCATCCTATGCACACTAGGTCCAAGTCAGGCATTTTCAAACCCAAAACATATATAGCTACACCTTCTTTTTCTATCTTAGAACCCAATTCTTATACAACTACTTCTAAATATCCAGAATGGAGGAAAGCCATGGCAGAAGAGTTTACTACATTACAGCATCAGGGCACTTGGTCTCTTATTCCACCTCCTACTCAAAATGTAATTGGCTGCAAGTGGGTTTATCGAATAAAACAGAATTCAGATAGTTCTATCTCTAGATATAAATCTCGGTTGGTGGCAAAGGGATTTCATCAAGAGGAAGGGATTGATTTTTCTGAAACCTTTAGTCCTGTGGTGAAGCATGTCACTGTTAAACTCATTCTTGCTTTGGCCACTCAATTCAATTGGAGGTTGCATCAATTGGATGTTAAAAATGCCTTTTTACATGGCACAATCACTGAGTTTATTCACATGTCCCAACCTTCTAGTTTTATTGATCCACTGTATCCTACACATGTGTGTCAGTTACATAAATCTATCTATGGTTTGAAGCAGGCCCCTTGGGCCTGGTTTCAGAAGTTTACTTCACAATTGGCCACATATGGTTTTGTTTCTTCTTATTCAGATCATTCTTTGTTTCTTAGAAAGGTCAATGATTCCCTCACTCTACTCCTTTTGTATGTTGATGATATAATTCTCATAGGAAATGATCCACAATTCATTCACACTTTGAAGCATCAACTGAACCTGCAATTTGAAATGAAAGATTTAGGAGCACTTTACTTCTTTATTGGTCTACAGATTCAATACACTTCTACTGGTTTGTTTCTCAGTCAGGAAAAATACATTGCTGATCTTTTTAAAAAAACCAACATGTCTGACTGCAAACCCTGTAAAACTCCTTGTGTAGCTTCATCCAGATTGAGTAAAACTGCTGGTACACCTCTTGTAGATCCATCCTTTTACAGAAGTATTGTTGGTTCTCTTCAATACCTGACATTTACAAGACCAGATATCAGTTTTTCAGTAAATCAAGTTTGTCAGCATATGCAAGCTCCCACAGATGTTCACTTTGTTGCTGTGAAAAGAATCTTAAGATACCTCAAAGGTACTTCTACATTTGGTATTTCTTATCACAAAGGTGGTATGAGTCTTTCTGCCTTCAGCGATGCAGATTGGGCAGGGGATCCTAACGACGGGAGATCTAATACGGGGTTTATCCTTGCTATGGGTAATAATCTCATTCACTGGGGTACTAAGAAGCAAACTACTATGTCTAGGTCCTCCACAGAAGCAGAATTCAGGGCTCTAGCACATACCACTGTTGAACTTACTTGACTTCAACTATTGCTTAAGGATCTTCAAGTACTGCTGCCTCAAGCCCCCATTCTCTGGTGTGATAATGTTTCTACTCTGGCCTTAGCATCAAATCCAGTGTTTCATGGTCGTACGAAGCATATAGATATTGACTTTCATTTTATCCGAGAGAAAGTTCACAACAAAAATCTTGTGGTTCATTATATTTCTTCTACTGATCAACTTGTTGATGTTTTTACCAAGAGCCTTGCTTCTTCTACATTCCTTCAGCTGCGAGACAAACTTATGGTTGGGTCACCACCCATTAGTTTGAGGGGGAATGATAACCAGAGCAACTAATCTAATTGATTAACTAATCAGTTGTAACTAATCAACTGATATTTGCCATGTTGGCATTCTGTTAGATTCCAGCTGTATTCTCTATGTCTTCTTATAAATACTGAAGACATACTCTTGTACATATATGAAGGATTTACAATGAAAAATCATATCTGAATTTCTTCTATCCTCTGTGTGTTTCTCTATATATAAAACTCATCAGTAGGCACCCTAATGATCGATGCCGCATGAGGTTCAATATGCAGATGGAGTTTCATCTATTGGCTTGCTGGTCAGAGACTCCTTTCCACTCCTTCTCACCACTGGTTTGTCCAAACCCACTCTCACCTTCGGGTTGGTAACTTCCTCTTTGCCCTAGATCTAATTGAATAGTGTTCTAAACTTGAAAATGCCTTTCAGGGTTATCATTTTTTCTTTCCAGGTCTCTTATCTGCAGGTGTGGATTTGATCAAAGAGTTCCACCTTCTACCGTGCCTAATGTTGTTGGCATCCTTGGTCTTGGCCGTTCGCCACTGACAATTGCATCACAGCTACGAGCACAGAGTCTAATCCAAAATGTCTTTAGCCATTGTTTAGGCAGCCGAGGTGGGTATCTGTTTTTTGGAGCTCATTCCCCTTCTCCAGGAACTGTGTGGATGCAAATGGCAGGGAATCACAGGACACTTTGCAACACTCTTCACCTCTTTAATTTCTCCATCTCCTTTATTTTGCTTCTACTGATACATTTGTAGTTAACCCACAAAATCTGTACTTATCCTTTGTTTCAGGGACTACTACTCGCCGGGGTATGGAGATATCCTCTTTGATGGGAAGGTTACTCCTATAAAGCATCTTGACGTGGTTTTCGACTCCGGGAGTACCTACACCATTTTTGCTCCCCGTGCATATACAGCTACACTTGCTCTGGTGAGAATCAAACTCATAATTAGTATTGCTATGACATGAAAGAGTGACGCGGGGTGATTCTCTATGCCTAGGCTAGAATTTTCAGTTATAACATAGCCACAAACATTTTGTTCGTGTCATGTTTTTATTATACAAAAAAATAATTTTTCGGCACCGTAAGTAGTGCTTCCCTTGGTCTATTTCCACATCCGAAACTATTTCTTAATTCTAGTTTCAGGTGAGGAATAGTTTAAGGGGAACTCCACTAAGATCAATCAATGACACATTCCTCCCAGTCTGCTGGAAAGGCCCAAAACGCTACAGAGTTGTTGGTGAAGTCAGGAACTACTTCAAGCAAATGGCACTCCTCTTTTCAAGAATCAACAATGGTCAGCAGCTTCAATTGCCTCCAGAAGCTTATCTTATCACCTCAGCGAGCAATCTAGCTAGCAGCTTTTTCTGTGCTTATTAAACAACAGATAAAAATATATATATATATACATCTTGATACTGAACATGCTCTTAATTCTATTTCAGCCATCGGGCAATGTATGCTTCGGCATTTTAAATAGTGCTCACTTTGGACTCGAAAACTTGAATGTAATTGGAGGTAAGACATGTACAAGTTAGAAGAAGAAAACCAACATGCGGAAAGTTTTTTTTTTTTTTTGGGGAATATTATATTTTGATCCCTCAACTATGATCATGGCTTACTTTGCCCCTACAATTATTGAGTTCCTCACATTTTCCCCTCAGCTACTTGAACTAGTTTCACATTGCCCATAAATCAAACTTTTTGTAACATTCTGGATATAAAATATCCACGTGTAGTAAAATACAGGTTTCTAAAATATGTAAAATTGGGCCAATTGAGAAATAAATAATTATAGATGTAGGAGCACTGTGAGAATGTGGTAGTTGAGGGAGCATGTAAATCAATAATTATAGTTGGAGGTATGTACAATATGAGAAGAGGGTGTAACGTGAGATAGGGATATAGTTGAGAGGGTCAAAGAGTTTATTGCACTTTTTTTTTTAATTCTTTTTTTGGGTCTTGTTTCCTTACTTTCTATTAGCAGACATTTCTTTGCAAGATAAATTGGTGATTTATGACAATGAGAGAGAGCAAATTGGATGGGTTCCTTCAAACTGCAATGCCAGGTCTTGAACTCTTTTCCTTGTCACTATTTTTGTCCTTTTGTGTGTGTGTGTGTGTTTGATAATGCTTTGTTCATTCTAACTGACTTAATTATTGTTTACCTGCAGGGTGGCTCATCATCCCAACTCGAGAAGCACTTTGCCAGCTGAATCTACTGTAACTTAAGCTTCCTTTGAAGCCCTATATACCAATAAACCGGTTGGAAAATTAAGCTCCTACGCGGAAAATTTTAAGGAGCAGATAGCTGCATGCTATTGTAAATTCAGTTTGCAATAGCAAAACTGAAATGACGACCTTACCTACCTTTTTCAAGGATAACCGATTTGTTTGAACTTGAAGGATTAATCGAAAGATTTTTTATATAGAGCAATTGTTAGATAAAAATTCATGCATGGTGTGATTGGTTGTACCTCTAAGTTTGCCTCATGAAATCCAATAAGAATATTGGATGATTACAGCTTTCTCTCAAGGGATACAGCAGATGCTGATTGATCAAGGCATGAATGAATTTTTATAGTTTATTTAAGTACAGCAACCTTATGTCAGTGTTAGGCTTAATTAGTTGATTAGTTCATCATTAGTGGACCCAGCTTAAATTAATGAAGGCTATCCCACCCTTTGTTTTTTTTTTTTTTTTAACTTCTCCCGGTCCAATAAAAAGAGGAAATATACATTAAAAAATAATTTTGTACATTTCACTTTATTTTTCCCATTGATGCTTTCCCCATATTTTGAGTCATCTCTAGAAATGTTCCTAATTTTTAATTTAATTAGAGATGACCATCGGATTGATCATACGGATATTGAAGTTATTTCAAACGAACTTAATTAAGACTGTTGTACGATTGCTGAACCAGTTGAGCATGGGGATGAATCGGAATAATTTGCAGTCCTACCAGTGTGAAATCATCTCAAGCATTGAGTGACTTATTTGTCAGCTGAACTTACTAACACTTTATGGAGTAACCTTTCAATTAAAGTGAAACTTATTCCTCTTTTATGTCCCTTTCGCTTCCACAGACAAGACCCTCAATTGGTTTAGTATTCATATACTGTTGTAAGCAATTGCTAGGCACCTTGCTCTCTTTGTTCTCTCTATTTTTTTCATTTCTCTTTCTCCTTTCCCTGGGGAGGGACTGTACTAGTGGGCTTTTTTGGGTGGTAATCTGAGAGAGTCGAATGTGAACATTCTATTTATCAGAATCGTTGAATTAAGTTCATAGTAATCCAAGTATAGTGCAAATTGGATTACTGTGCGGGCTTGATCCTGCACGATATATAAAATATTGGGAACAGATCTCTCCCCCGGTGAACTTTGGGTGAGCCGATTGAGTGGCCAAACACACTGCTCGAAACAGCTTACGATCCTGGGAAAGGAGGAACGATCCTGTACGTGCGAAAGGTATTTCCTGGGACAAAAGAGAACAAGTTAGAAGGGCGCCGGAGTGTTTTCCGGCGTATCCCCTCCGACGGTCTAGTCAGTCTTTGAATGAGAGAGAGGAAGGAGAAAACACTGAGAAGGATATTTCGTAGTAGAGAGTTTGTGATTGCATACCCGCTTTGTCTTTTGGGAGGGGTATTTATACCTTAGAAGATCATGATTGCTGTCAGTGTGGTCAGTAGGTGATCATCAGGCACAGATAGCGTGTGTAATCATTTGATGAGGAATGTCTTCTCTAATTGACTGCTCGGGGTCCCGAGCAATTAATGGTGAGTTGTCGGGACGCCGACGGTACAATATGCTCCTTTCGGGAAGGATGCAATAAATGCTCTGTAATAGGAGCATTTATTGCCTTTCATATCCGAACCTTACCGCATTAAATGCGGTCTCGTCAACAGAAGGGTGTAATTAATTGTTTGCTTTCCCAAGTCGCGTGCCAGCAGCGGCATGCGGTTTGTCTGCTTCGGATGTGACATTATTCGCCACACGTCCATCCCTTATTGGCTGTTACGTCGGTATTCCAGCACGTTCTGACATTACTTGTGTAAGAAGAGCTCATGATGACTAGTCCATACTGGCATAGGCTGATGTCCAGTTTTGTCAGTAGCTTTTTCCGGGAGTAGGGGAAGCGTCCAGGATGGAGTGACCCTCGGCGCCGAGAAAAGGCTCACCTCGGGACCAAGGGGTGGTGTGTCCCCGAGGTACACGTTTGACCGAGGACACGTGTTTGTTGTATAATATACCGAATGTGTGATCCTATGAGAGGTACCTCGGGGTAAAGGAAGCTCTTCGCCGATGGTGCTTACATCCGGGCAACACTGTTCCAAAATATCCCGAGGACACGTGTCATCATCTTAGGGCTTTTCAGAAGAGTCCCATCAACTGCCCCCCAGCCTTCGATCTTCTGACACCGAGGACACGCGTTGTAAGGAGACGAAGGGTTTTTCCAACTGCCATCCGTCCTTCATTATGGCCTCGAGCAGCTTTCCCCGTCTTGGGATGTCGTGCGCATTAAATGCGCTGTTTTTGGTTCTCCCGCCCAATGATGACAGTTTCCCCCCTATATAAAGGGGGTTCTTCTCCGGTTTCCTTCGTTTTGCCATTCCGATCTCTGACCCAGAATACGCCCTTTCTGATCTGCTCGCCGGAGTTTTTTGTTTCCTCAGCCATCGTTGACAGCACCTTCTTTAAAACCTCAGCCAGAAAAAACCCATTGTTGACTCCTGGTCCTTCCGGTGCGAGTCATTTTTCAAAGTTTTTCCTGAAAAAACTCCGTTTTCGACGTCTTCTGGTGAGTTTCACAACCTTCTTCTTTATCGTCCTCCTAGCCTTCTTGTTTTCCGATTTGAACAGTGGTGTCATCCGGTCGGTACGTCTTGATTTAAACCCTCGGGGAACTTCCTCGGGTTTTCAATAGAGAACACCTTTTTCTTCCCTTTCTTTTAGAGATGCCTCGTCGTCGCCCTGTTCCCGAGAATCCATCGGCTGGTCCCTCGGGGTCAGGGAAATACAAGGTGACAGGCGAGGCACAGATTGATAGGTTCAGGGCGAAGTATGGCATCCCTCCGAGCGTGGACGTAGTGGGCTTTAACCCTTTGTTGAACTCTCCTACCTTCGGGGCCGCGGATGCCATGCCTTTTTATACCAAGGCCATCATAGAGGGTGGCATTAGGTTTCCTTTACCCCCCCTGCTTCTTCAGTTCCTGTCTCGCTTCCGTCTCTTCCCCGGGCAATGCTGCCTCAACGTCTTTCGGATAATTATGGGGGTCCTAGAGCTCAATAGGCGCCTCGGGGTGAATATTGGGCTCAATGATCTCTTTTCTGTTACTCCCTCCTAAGAGTCATGCCCCACCAACATTTCTACCTCAAAGCCAGGGACCCCTCTATGTACCTTGTAACCCATCTTCCTGATTCGGACAAGGGGTACAAGGACGACATCTTGATCTTCAAGGGATGTTGGGAGAGGGGTGTTGGTCCCGAGTACAATGACTTATTTTGCCCTCGGGAATGGAGAACGACAAGTACGTCGGTTCCTTTGGGTTTTTATTTGTTTCTTGGGACTTCTCATGTTTATGACAATCTTTTTTGTTGTGCAGGTATTCCTTCTCGGGAAACAGCTCCACCCCCTCGGTCGCTGGTCAATTTTGCGACCTAATAACGGTTTGGAGTTTCACGGGCGCCGACGGATTTGGCCGAGCTGCCCATAATTTGCTGCACTATACCCCCGGGTATAAGAAGTTCTCACAGCTCCCTCAACCTTTCGAGCCTTCGCAGTGGTCAGAGCTCTTTGATCAGGCGGCGAGGCTAGAGGTCGAGCAGAACTTGGAGGAAGACCCGGATCGGGCTTCAGAGGGAGAGGTAGAGGGAGTTGCTGAGGAAGTCGGGGTCAGAGAGGACGTTGCTCCTTCGGACGCCGAGGTGGGGACTTCGGGAGGCGACTTGTGGCCCGATTTTCAAATTCTCCAATCTTTGGACGCCGAAGACGCTCTCGAGGAAGCGATGTCCAACGCCCCTCGCATTAATTTGGGGTTTCTTAGGCAGAGGCAATCCCTCGCGGCCGGGAGAGGTCGAGGGACGGCCGGCGGTACTCCGGCAGGAACCAGCTCTGCCCCATCATCAAGGGTTCCTGATCGGGGTCAGGTGCGAGATCGGGACCCTCAGGTGGAGGAGGAGAGGAGGGTGAAGCATCGGCACGATGGCCTCAGCCGAGGACCCAGGGTGCCTCCCGCTCAGCAGCAAAGCGGGAGGGATCGTGGATTACCCTCTACTCCCTCACAACCGCAACAACCGCAGCAGCAAACTCGACAACAGCAGCAACTACAGCAGCCCCGACAACAGCAGCAGCAGCAGCAGCAACAGCA